TAAAGAAATCAACGAAGAAACATTTATTAAAACAATAATAGAAATGATAAAAAAAGAAGAAGAATATTCAGAATATTCATCAGAAAGAGAAATGATAATAAATATCAAAAGAATAATATACAATAATAAAATCAATAAAGGAATAATTAGAAAAAGAAGAATAGGGCATAATGAAATAATGATAACATCAAAATATTTTAATGATATTAAAGATTTTATTAATTTAGAAATAGGAATTAAAAGATTTCAAGGAAATATGGAACGATTTCATTTTAATCCAATTTCTTTAAATGAATATTCAAGAAGATTATTTCCTAATATTGAAACATTTCATATTTATAATGAAGAAGATGAAGAATTTGATGATGGAAGAATATTTAAAGAAGTAATATGGTATGCTATTAGTTATTCAAAATATTTAAAAGAGAAAGGAACAGGAAATATATGTAAAAATATAGAATATAAACAAAAAGATAGAAATAAATATGGAAATACAATACCATCAGAAGTTAAATCACTTGGAAAAGAATGCTTTTCTAGATGTTCATCATTAACATCAATTAATATACCTTCATCTGTTAGTAAAATAGGAGATGGTTGTTTTTATGAATGTTCATCATTAACATCAATTAATATACCTTCATCTATTAATGAAATAGGAATTTGTTGTTTTTATTTATGTAAATCATTAAAATCAATTAATATACCTTCATCTGTTAGTAAAATAGGAAATAATTGTTTTTATAAATGTTATTCATTAACATCAATTAATATACCTTCATCTATTAATGAAATAGGAGATGATTGTTTTTATTTATGTTCATCATTAACATCAATTAATATACCTTCATCTATTACTTCATTTGGAAATAATTGTTTTTCAGGATGTTCATCATTAACATCAATTAATATACCTTCATCTGTTAGTAAAATAGGAGATGGTTGTTTTTATGGATGTTCATCATTAAAATCAATTAATATACCTTCATCTGTTAGTAAAATAGGAAATAATTGTTTTTATGGATGTTATTCATTAACATCAATTAATATACCTTCATCTATTAATGAAATAGGAGATGATTGTTTTTATAAATGTTATTCATTAAAATCAATTAATATACCTTCATCTATTACTTCATTTGGAAATAATTGTTTTTATTTATGTTCATCATTAAAATCAATTAATATACCTTCATCTATTAATGAAATAGGAGGTGATTGTTTTTATGGATGTTCATCATTAACATCAATTAATATACCAACAGCAATTAGTAAAATAGGAAATAATTGTTTTTATAAATGTTATTCATTAACATCAATTAATATACCTTCATCTGTTAGTAAAATAGGAGATGGTTGTTTTTATGAATGTTCATCATTAAAATCAATTAATATACCTTCATCTATTAATGAAATAGGAGATGATTGTTTTTATAAATGTTCATCACTAAAATCAATTAATATACCTTCATCTGTTAGTAAAATAGGAAATAATTGTTTTTATGGATGTTATTCATTAACATCAATTAATATACCTTCATCTGTTAGTAAAATAGGATATTATTGTTTTTATAAATGTTATTCATTAAAATCAATTAATATACCTTCATCTATTAATGAAATAGGAAATAATTGTTTTTCAGGATGTTCATCATTAACATCAATTAATATACCTTCATCTATTAGTAAAATAGGAATTAATTGTTTTTCAGGATGTTCATCATTAACATCAATTAACATACCTTCATCAATTATATCATTTGGGAGATCATGTTTCTATGGATGTGGATATGTTGAAGAATTAACACAAAATAAAAGAATTCCAAGAAAATGTTTGAATGAAGATTAGAATATGAAATTTCAATAATAAAAGAGATGACTAATAAACAAATGAAATGGTTATTACAATAAAATTAATTGAGTTAATTTGAATACATTTATTCACATTTATTGTTTGTATGTTATTTAATTTATTCTATCATTCTATTTCTTCTTTATTTGTGTTATTTGGAAACCAAAATAAGCAAAGAAATAATACATATAAATAAAAATTATAAAAATAAAAATGAATAAAATAAATTATATCAATAAAATAATGATAAATAATTTACATCAATAAATTAAACGCTTTTTTATTTGATATTTCTAATTTCTATAATAAAAAATACATCCATTATTTCATCATTCTTTTCATCTTTTATTATCTCATTTTAAAATATTCTTTTTTATATTCTTTCATTTTATATTCTCAATTTTCTACTTTTATTCTTTTCATCTTCTTCTATCCATAATTTCACTTTTTTCTTTTATATCATTCTTTCTCTTCATTTCTATTCATTTTTCTCTTATTTCCTTTTCTCGTGGCTTAAAATAAATATAATGAATGAAGATGAAATAGAGAAGAAAACAAAAGAGAATAAAATGAAATTAATATTTCAATAAAAATGAAATAAGTAAATTCAAAATAAGAATATAAAATAATGAAGTATTCATTGTATTGAATCATCAAATAGTTAATAAAAATGAATATTTCATAAAATATCATATATTTATATAGAAGATAAAATAAACAAGAATAATAAATGATATAACAATAACATATGATAAGAAGATAAGTCTAGTATTTACTAATGAACTTGAAATGTTTAGATTTCTCCATTTCAAAATAATACAAATTAATAAACTAAAATGAAACTAATTCCAGTGGTAATAACAATAAAATGAATAATCAATAAAGAAACAATAAGAATGATAAAAGAACAAGATATAATAATTCAATATAAAATGATAGTAAAAGATATAATAATTATGAATATGAAAGACATAATGAATACTGTGGATAACATGGAGGTGAATATAGAGATATAGAAGAACTTCATGAACAAATTATTCAATAGAGAATGAATGATGTAATCTTATCTGAGTAAATTGAAATAAATAAAACAAGAACTACTGAAACTTAATTTATTAATTTTTAATAAAAAAATTGAAATTATTGAAATCATTGACTTTATGTTAAGTGTAATGTTATTTCACTCAGTTCAATTAAAATAATCATTTCTTAGTGTTTATAAAATGTAATTGTTTATATTTTTATTTCACTTTATTTCATTGTTTATTTCTTGGTTATTGTTTATTCATTTCATTCATTGTTTGTTTTATTGATTAAAACTTTCTATGTATTGTATGTTGTTGTGTTTTCTTATTGGTGTTTCATTGTTTGTGATTAATTCAATCAATTCTCATCAAAATATTGTTAGTTGAAAGTTAATTATCAAAACATGAATAAAAGAAATAAAAGAATGGAATGAAGATGAAATGATGAAAGTATTTGAACAATGAGAACATCATTTTATAATGAATTGATATCATTTATCATATTCAATTCAAGTGATAATCGTTATTAACATTATTTTATTGTAGTTTGAAATATCACAAATAAATATTCTGTTATTCAATTTATTCCTCATTTTTATTAAATCTTAAAAAAGAACTTTTAATTACCAATAACAAAAATGGTTCATTTAGAAAACGTCTTTTTAAAGAATGTATTATTGTATTTACCAACGTTAAAAGATGTTGGAAGATTTGCACAAGTATGCAAATCATGTGAAGAAGCAATCAACACGATTTATGTTAATCCATATGAATTAACAATCCATCATTCATTTGATGAAATTATTCCATTATTTCCTAATTTACAAACATTTTATGTTAGAAGATGTCCAGAAAGATTATACAAAATATCAGCAAATGATATTCCACTAATCGAAATAGGAGGATGGAATGAAACAGCAAAACAAACAAAAATGTTTGATACAAAATGGTTTTGTTCAAAAATAAGAAAATTACGAATGGAGGGATACTATTGTAAAAAAGTAATAGAAAAACATCCAGAATATTTTACACAATTACAAGAATTAGTTATTTTGAATTCCAATGATTTGAATCTAATAAGAAAAATGATTGAATTACCAACATTAAAAAAAGTAATTATTCTTTGTAGTATTAGTGAATTTCAAGAACTTTCAAAAATGGTTGATTTCAATAAATACAAACAAATCAATTTCATTATTATTTTAAATGAATATGGGTTTATCTTTAGTCAATGTTTCGACCAAATAGATTATAATCAATTTGTTAATTGTAGGTTTTACACTAGAGTACTTAATAAATCAACAATAAATTTACCTTATTTACCATCATTACCATATGAACAGAAGTTTCTCATGGGGTTCGATAAAAGTGGTGCTAGTGTTGTTATTAAAACTGATGTTTTAGATAAAATCAATCAAATTAATGAAATAATTGTAAAAAATGATATTCGACATGTTGTTATTGAAAATATTTTAAATAACTTTGAAGGAAATAGAATTGATTTAACAACATTACCCATTGAATTATTATCAATAAAAAAAGTTGAAAAACAAAATCTTGTTTTTGTCATTCCTCCTGGTTTAAAGTCATTAACAATTTATGAATGTAAGGCATCAATTGATATTTCAAAATGTTATTTAAAAGAATTAACATTACGTGAGTATCAAGGAAAACCAATAGATGTACATGATGATAATTTAAAAGTATTTGAAACTGATTTTAATCAAGAAATAAAATGGTATCATAATGATACATTACTTAACCAAAATGAAATTTATTTAGATGCAAACAAAATTACTTTGTTTAAAACTGGTTGTTCACATATTTTTATAAATGGTGAAAGAGTTGAAGATAACAGCCCTTTAAAAACTATCATTTTTAAATACAATGATAAGGAAATAAGAATAAATGAAGTCAGTGAATTTTCATTTGAAAATAAGTTTTTGTATTGTAGTTTGGGTAATGTACAAGAATTAGATTTTGGAGAATATCCATTTTGTGGTTTTGTTGTAACAAATTCTAAGATAAGCCATTTAAAAATAAAATCTAATTCAGTTGGTTTAACTCATGTTGAGTGCGATGATTTAATTATTGACGGTGCTTGTACTCAATTCGGTTTTACTGATTGTAAAATTGATACATTGACTTGTGACACTATCGAATGTTTAAGTTGCCAGAGGTCAGACATCACTACTATAAATGCAAATGAAATCAAGAAAATTAATGGACCAAGTGCAAAATCAAAAATTAGGAATGCAATGAAAGAAAAAGGTAAAAGAAAGAAATAAACATTACTTCTTCTTTTTTCCTAAGTGAAAAACCATTTTTCATTTTCTTTTTTTCATTTTTTGTTTGGAAATTATTTTAAATTTTTTTGTTATTCATTCTTTTTTTAGTTACATTTCTATTTTTCTATATTATACATTAATTATACCTAAAATATTTTTACTGTTATTCTCATCTCATATTCAAGTATTTATTTATTTATTCTTTGAATTTTTATCATAACCATTATTTCATATATACCTTTCATTGTACATTATCTGTTCTATTGTTATTTTAATACGTTGTTTTTATGTTGAATAAAAATGAAAAATAATTATTAATTATCAATAATATGTCAATTTGATACAATTGCATGTTGTAAATAAATGAAAATATTAAGAAATGAAATAGGTAATTAAGTTGTATATATTTAAATGAATAATAATGTAAATAAAGTATAAAATAGAATAAAATTAGTGTATTATATTATTATTCTTTTTATTTTATCAAACCATCAATGTTTCATATCTTATTTATTTTCAATATCATTATATTATAATTATATTTTGATTAATATAGTTATTTATTATGAAAATAAACAAATAATAAAATAAAAGAATCAAATAAATTATTTTATTCTTCATTAATATTCATCATTTCTCTTGTCAACAACTTATAAAATATTTTATTTTTATAAGTGAATGAAATAATGTATATTAATTAAATACAATAATAATTATTTTCAATATTCAATTGATTTTCATTATCATAAATATCAATATTTAAATGTACTGTATCATTTATTTATATCATTTCAATATCATGAATATAATTCTTTATACACTATAATTCAAAATAAATGAGATATTTCAATATTTGATGTTCGAGCAATCTTCTATATTCAATAATTTAAAACGAAACTAACTTAACCACATCAATAAAATATCAAGAGAATGATATAATAATTCGCTTATCTAAATATTCTTTGATTATCACTTTTATATTGAAATAATCAAATGAAAGTGCTCAATTTATACACTCATTTATCTCTATTTTAAACTATTATTTATGACATTCAATTTAAACATTGTTTATTCAGATAAATGAAAGAAATAAAATGAATTTAAAAATATGTAATGATGTATTAAATTAAGGAGTTAAATTAAAATTATAAAAGATATATAAAGGATAAAAAAGAAGTAAAAAAGATAATTAATAGCAATAAGTATGATTGAACTAAAATTAATAATCAATTTTAGCAACAACACTAATTAAACATTTCATCTTTTTATAAAAGTATGTTAATGAAGAAAAAAAGAAACATCGTTATAGGTTTCCTGGTTTATTGTTGTTTATTCATAGTCATATAATTTATCTTTCTATCAAACCTTAAACTAAAGTTATAAAGTCATTTAAAAATCAAATAGTTGTTAATTTAATTTGTTTCTATTTAAATAAAACAAACCTCATTATTATTTACATAGTACTGAGTTTTTTTATTATAATGTAAATAAATTGAATAATGATTTATTTATCTGTTGCCTATTACCTTAAATGAAATAATACATTTTAGGCATTAATTTTATTTTTATTATATAACATTCTCATATATTGTATAACAAAATAAACAACAACATTGAACTCACAATCATTTTTATTGTTTATTAAATACAATAACTTATTTCATTATGAATAAAAATGTGTGGATGTTTTAGATTAAAATTCAATTAGAACTTATCTGAATTTCTGAAATAAGGTTCAAGATGTTGTTGAATCTTCTTGAGCATATCTTTATCAAACCCTAAATTCACAAACACTATCATTTTTTCAAGAAGCTTTCCTGTGTCTTTTTTGAATATTTCAACTTCAACAAGACCACTTCTGTTAACTGTTATTTTGTAAATCAATTTAACTTCTCCTTTCTTGAATCCTGGTGAAAGCTCTTCTATTGTCACTGAAGTAACAAGCTCCATTCCTTCTTCATTTATTCTCTTACCCTCTCCTTTATAAATTGAATTTCTGATACTCCTAGAATCATCTCCAGAATAAGAAATTACTGTTTCAAAAGTAATTGGAAGTTGTTGTCCTTTTCGTGCAAAAACAATAAATTCGTTATTAGCTACGCTAAGCCCAAGTGTGTATGGCATAACTTCTACGACAGTGTCTTCATTATCCATTGATAATTGATGTGCTCTATATGCTGCTCCTTTAACAACACATGTGTACGAATTAAAATAAGGTCCTACAACCTTATCACTTCCAAATATTTGAGAAAGTGATTTTCTAACAAATGGATTACTACAAGATCCACCAATAGCTAAAACATAATTTACATCACCAACTTTCCAATTTGCACTATCTACAACACTTTTTACACACTGTTCAATCTTTTCAAATATTTTATCTTTTATACACTGTGACTCAAATTCATCGCTAGTTATAGTAATTTCTCCTTCAAATTTTTCCGTAATTGAATCAAGTTGAATAGTTGAACAATGTGAGTTTCCAGAAAATGACTTTTTAATATCTTCTGCAATATTTCTAATTTTTTTCATCCTTTTTTCTTTCATCTTTCTAACACATTTGGTATCACAAGTTTTGACTTTAAACAATCTTTGAAATTCAGTATCACCAATATATTGTTTTATTTTATCAAGAATAATTGTAATAAGACAGTCATCAAAATTGTTTCCACCAAGACTAAGATCTCTTTCATTTCTAATACATTCTATTTTTGAATCTTTATCTCTTTTTTTATCTTTATGGAAAATACAACAAGTAACATCTATTGTATCTCCTCCACAATCAATCACAACAATTTTAGAATTATCTTTTAAATGGAACTCTCTATCAAATTCTATAACTGATGCTGTCGGTTCATATAATAGTGAAATATTTTCAAATCCTGCCATTTTACATGCTTGAATTGTTTCTTTCTTTTGTTTTGGTGTAAAAGAAACAGGAACGGTAACAACTACTTTTCCTATTTTTTTATTTCCTATTCTTTGCCTGAGTATCTTATATATTGCTCTAAGAAGCATTGCTGATACTTCAATTGGATAAAAACTTTCTGTTTGTGATGGATTAAGAGGATCTTCAACACGCATTTTTATTTCATCATTTTCTGTTGAAACTATAAAAGATGTAAATGATGGTAATAAGCTCTTTTGTTCATTATAATGTTTAACTGTTTCTCCTATTAATCTTTTAGAATCATGAAGACAAATACCACCACTAACTTTTGCTAAAATTCCTGCTTGGTAAGTTTTAATTCCATTACCTCTATTCAATAGCATAACCCACGATGGTATTGAAAATTCATTATTTGATATTTCTAGGACTTCTATTGGATCGTTTTTATCTTCATTTTCAGAATATATAGCAATAGATGAATATGTTGTTCCTAAATCTATTCCAATATGAATAGAATCTTCACCTGATGTTGTTCTAATCATAATGAATTTAATTAGATAAACCATTTCTTATATACTCCATCAAACATCATTCTAACTTTTATAAAATTTTTAAGTTCTAACTTCATTAAAAAATATTCAATAATGTTAATAAAAGAAATAATAAGCATCATTTGAACCTGTTTATACATAATTTTTTGTCGTATAAACTGGATGTTGATAATTTTATGCAGACCCCCAAAATCTTTTATTTATAAAAACTAAACCAAATGGTAAAAAAGAAATAAAATTAACTATTCTGTTCATTGTTCATGACAGCACTAGGATTGGATCATCTATTATGTCTCTATTCATAACTTATTTCCATCATTCATAAAAGTAGTTCCAACAACAATTATTCTTTTCCTATTAATGTTGTTATGACAAACCACTAATTTGATAGTATTATTTTGTCTTACTGTATTCTTTAATGCATTTTCTTGTATAGACTATACTAACCACAACGCAATAACACACTGTATTTAATTTATCATTATATCTTTATTGCATCAACCTTATTTCAAATACCAACTGTTAAAAAGATAAAAGAAACGCAATTAAACAGTTAATAACCTTTAATAAAAACATCTATACCTTTCTTTGAACACACTTTGTTATAATGTCTGTTTACTAACTTATCTACTATTTAAATTACTAAACAAAATTTAAATCTAACATAAAATAACTAAAACAAAAAATTTACCAAAATGAGAAGTAAATTAAAAACGCTTAGAAGCATTTTCTGTGGACAATAGCTGGTCCTGATTCATCATATTCTTCTTTGGTAATCCACATATTTTGGAATGTAGAAAGTGATGCAAGAATTGATCCTCCAATCCAAACTGAATATTTTCTTTCTGGTGGGGCAATAACCTTAATCTTCATTGTTGGTGGTGCTAATTGAATCATTTCCTTTTCAAGTCTGGTGTTAATACCTGGATACATTGATGTTCCTCCTGAAAGAACAATATTTCCATAAAGATCCTTTCTAATATCAACATCACATTTCATAATTGAATTGTAGGTAGTTTCATGAATACCATTACATTCCATACCAAGGAATGATGGTTGGAAGAGTGCTTCTGGGCATCTGAATCTTTCATTTCCAACTGTGATAACTTGTCCATCTGGAAGTTCATAGCTCTTTTCAAGTTCACTGCTTGATGCTGCTTTTTGCATTTCTTCATTGAAATCTTCTGCAACATAGCAAAGTTTTTCTTTAATATCTCTAACAATTTCTCTTTCTGCAGTAGTAGTGAATGCATATCCTCTTTCAGTTAAGATTTTCATAAGATAATCAGTAAGATCACGTCCTGCAAGATCAAGTCTAAGAATAGCATGTGGAAGTGAGAATCCTTCATAAATTGGAACAGTGTGTGAAACTCCATCACCTGAATCCATAACAATACCAGTTGTTCTACCTGATGCATATAATGAAAGAACTGCTTGAATTCCAACATACATAGCTGGGGTATTGAATGTTTCAAACATAATTTGAGTCATCTTTTCTCTGTTAGCTTTTGGATTCATTGGTGCTTCAGTTAAAAGAACTGGATGTTCTTCTGGAGCAACTCTAAGTTCATTATAGAAAGTATGATGCCAGATCTTTTCCATATCATCCCAATTGTTGACAATACCATGTTCAATTGGATATTTAAGTGTAAGAATACCTCTCTTTGATTGTGCTTCATCTCCAACATATGCATCTTTTTGACCCATACCAGCCATAACTGAAACATGTCTTGGTCTACCAACAATGGATGGGAATACAGCTCTTGGAGCGTCATCACCAGCAAATCCGGCTTTACACATTCCAGATCCATTATCTACAACAAGTGCTTGAACTTCTTCGTCTCCCATAATTATTTAATGATTATTTTAGTTTGATATGATCTTTAAATACCTGGCTCTTGGAGTTCACTCTTTATTAAACGCTAAAGTTCTCCCTTTTTTTATTTTTTTCACCTCTTTTTCATTTCTTTTTTAGTTCATTTAAATAAAACTCTATTAAATTTATAATAAAAAAATTCCTCTGGAATATTCTATTTTTTATTTTTTAGTTCTCTTTTCAAGTTTAAATCACAAAAATAAAAAATGTTATTGGTGATTTATTGTATCTTAATTTTCATGTAAAAATTCCTTTTGTATTGTATAACTCACACAGTAATCTTACAGTAATACCTTTTTCTTAACAAAAACGAAAAATAAAATGAGGTGATTAGAAAAAAAAGTTAAACTTCACTTAGAGTTGTTCTTCAACGAACTTCCAGTTAACTACGTTCCACCAGTGTTCTAAGTAAGCAGCTCTGTTGTTTCTAGTATCAATGTAGTAAGCGTGTTCCCAAACATCACAAGTTAATAATGGTTTCATTCCATTGGTCATTGGATTAATAGCGTCATGGGTATCAATAATCTCTAACTTACCATCATGTTCAACCAACCAACACCATCCACTTCCGAAATGTCCAACTGCCTTTTCAGTAAACTTCTTCTTAAATTCTTCTAATCCTCCAAAAGCAGCAGTTAATTTAGCAGTTAATTGTTCAGATGGTTTAACTCCACATCCACACATACATTTCCAATAGAATGCATGGTTCCATGCTTGAGCAGCATTATTATAAATTGCTTGAGTTGGTTTTTGTTTAATTAATTCTTCAAGAGTTTTATGTTCTTGTTCAGTTCCTTTTACAAGACCATTTAACTTATTAACATAAGTAGCATGGTGTTTGTCATGGTGGAATTCAAGAGTTTCTTTACTAATATGAGGTTCAAGAGCATTATAAGCATAAGGTAATTGTGGTAATTGGAAAGACATTATTATCTGATGAAGAAAGTACTGTTTTTCAAGTTTAAATAGACTGATGAATTGTGTAGCTTTCTTATTCTTGTGAGGTTTTCTCTGTTAACTTTCAATTTTTCGGAGATTTATACACAGAGAATGAAATAGAACAACTCTCCACATTTAATTTCATTTGTTTATCTTCAACTGTCGTTATTTGCACTACCAAATTGTTGAATTACCAAAAGATGAAGTTTCAAAAAATTAACAACCAAATAACTAATTTTATTTACTATTTTATTATGTTATTATTATTTTGTTATTTAAATAATGGTTATAATAACAAAAAAAAAATAAAAAAAGAATAATTAAAAAATAATAAAAATAAACTAGTTATTAATAAATTATTAAATGAAAAATATTAAAAAACTTTTTGATTATTTTTTTAATTATGAAAGTCAGAGTGATGAAATGAAAATTCATTGCAAATTAAGAAATTGTATTGTTGGTTGTTTAATGTGTGGTTGTGAAATATTGCCACCATCAACATATTATATTTGTTCTGAATGTGAAGATGGATTACACACAGTATGCCCTTCATGTTATCCATATGCAAAAGAACAAAAAGGTCATAAATTTTATAGTGAGTTATTACCATTTTGTCGTGACAATTCAATAATTAAAACCGATGTTTCATTTTCTGATAAATTAATAACATTATTTAATTTGTACAAAGAAAGAAAATGTATTGGATATCGTTGGATACATGGTCAATTAATGAATCATTTTGAATGGATATCTTATCAAGATGTTTTTGAATTATGTTGTGGTTTATGTGAAATGATTAAATTACTGAATATTGAAATTAATGAACCAATTCTTATTTGTGGGGATTCATGTATAGATAGTTATATTATATCATTTTCATTAGCAATTGGTGGATACCTTTGGGTTCCAATAAATCATACATCAACAAAAGAATATGTACATGGAATAATGAATAGATGTAAAATTCGTTTAGCGTTTATATCAAAAAATAATATTGGTTATTTAGAAGAAGAGTTAAAAGGTATTAAAACAATTATTCTTATTGATGATTGTCCTGATGCTTATTCTTCTATTATTTCTCCACAACACCACTACCCAACATTAATGTCAAGTATTAAAAAAAGTAAAACTCTTCCAAAACCACTCATTTGTAATTCAAATACTCCTCGTTTGTTATTGTCAACAAGTGGCTCAACCGGAAATCCAAAACTTGTTATAATGAGTGAAAAAACATTAATGAATTCACTCCAACCATCTCAACCAAATCTTCAAGTTATTACAATTACTTCAACACTAATACGACAACCTTATGATATTATTAATAAAGGGGGATCTATTGCTTGTTATAGTGGTTCAATGGAACGATTGAGAGAAGATATTATTATGGTGAGACCAACATTTTTTGGAGCAACACCAACATTTTGGTATTCATTATATCAAGAATTTTTATTTGAAACAAAAGGTCTTAAAGAACAAGAAGCTATAGAATTATATAAAAAGAAAAGAGTGTTAGGAAATCGATGTAAAAGTGTATTAATAACTGGTGCAAAAAGTTCAGAAGAAATTAAACGATTTTTATTTAAAATTGGATTAATTGTAACTGATGGATATGGAACAAGTGAAACAGGGTCATTAGTTAATATGAGTACAGGAAAAGTTAATGATGGAGTTGAATTAAAATTAATTGATTGTCCTGAAATGGGATATTTTGTAAATTCAAATCCATCAAGAGGAGAAGTTATTGCAAAAACAAGAAAAATGTCAAGTGGGTATTATGGAGACCAACAACTTACTAATCAAATGTTTATTAGTATTGAAGGAAGTATTTATTTTAAAACAGGAGATATTGGTGAAATTGTTAATGGACAAATAAAAATTATTGATAGAAAAGCATTTTGTTTTAAAACTCCTCAAGGATGTTTTGTAACACCAACAGTAATAGAAAATAAATTAAGTAAAATTGAAGGAATAGAACAAATAGTTATTTTTAATGGAATAAATGATCAAGTTACTGCAGTAATTTCATTAAAAGAAAATACTATTGAAAAAGAAGTGTTTAAATTAATCAAAACAACTAGTATTAAAGAAGGATTAAAAGAATATGAAATTCCACAACAAATAATTATTGCAAAAGAACATTTCACTGTAAAGAATGGAATGGTTACGCTAAATGGAAAGATAAATAGAAACAAAATTATAAAACACTATAAGCCATTATCTTCCAATCATCAAATAATTATTAAAGAAACTCAAGTAGAAGAAAACATTTATCAAAATGACTTATTATTAAACCAATGTCCTATTATTTCTAAACAACTTGAAGAAATACTTAGAAATTCAATTAAAAGTATTACACATATTAAAAATATAAATGAAATACTTGAATATAGAATTACTGATTTTGGAGTTGATTCAATTGTTATGACTCAAATTAGTCAATTGATTAAAAAAACATTTGATATTGAAATGAATACCCGTTTACTTTATAAATTTAGAAGTATTGAACAACTTCAAAACTATCTAAATGGAATGCCTTTAATCGAAGAAGAAATTATTTGGGAAGATGAAATCAAACAGGCAATTAGAACTGAACATCAATTACAATTTAGTCAACATAAAAATCAAAACAAAATTCTTCTTTTTGGATGTAATGGATTTGTTGGTAAATTTATTTTACGAGAATTAATTGGAAAAGAAGTTATTTGTATTGTTAGAGGAAATAATTATCAAGAAAAAGTACAGTCATCTTTTAAAGAAACAATTTATTGTATTAATAATAAAAAAGATTATGAAAATTGGTTTAATAAACATGTTCAAATAATTCAAGGTGAAGTTTCTGAACAAAACTTTGGTCTTTCTGAGAAAGTTTATAATGAATTACTTCAATCTATTTCAATAGTTATTCTTTCATCTGGGAGAACTCATATGATGGAAAATTATCAAATGTTATATTCAAGTAATGTACTTTCTGTTTGTCAAGTAATTGAATTCTGTCAAAGAAGTTCTGCATTTTTATTTGATGTATCTTCTTTAAGTGTTCTTTCTGGAAGTCAAATTCTTAATGAAGAAATTGATATTCCAATAACTCACATTAATCTTTTGAATGGATACGCTCAGTCTAAATTAATTGCTGAAAAAGCAATTATTGGTTCTAAAGGATTTAAAAAATGTATTTTAAGACTTGGAACAGCAGGTCCAGATAGACATAGTGGAGTTTCTAATCTTCTTAGTAAATACATTCAAATGATATCACAAATTCTTATTCATAAAAAAGTAAGTTATTCAACATCAAATCTCTATCAATTAATACCTTTTATTCCTGTAGATTATTTTTCTTCTTCACTACGTTCTCTTATTGATCATTATAAAGAATTGAATGAAATAACTTGCTTCCATTTTGGGTGTGAATCTGCATCATCATTAAAACAATTATTAAGTGTTGAACATTTAGAAGAAGTTGATGAAATAGATTATTGGGAAACTGAAGGAATAATAAATGAATTTAAAAGTATTCCATCTATGGAAAACACAGTAAAAGTAAGTGGTCATATTCCGTTGTATTCTCCTAAAGAATGCAAGTTATTTTTACAATGGATAAAAGAACATTGTTAATGTAATTTATATTTTTTTGGAATAACAGTTTATTGTTTTATAAAACTATTTTTAGAATAAAAAAAGAAAAAAAAACTAAAAAAAATGGAAGAAATGAAGAGAAGTTTGGAAAGTAGTGATAATGAAGTTATTCAAAGTCCAATACAAATTGGACTTGATGATATGAGCGAAGAATTATTAGAACAATTTGTTCCACCACCAAGACAAAACACTACACCAAACAAACCATTATTTCTACAAGAATTACCAGTCATACATATTAATGAAGGAATTGAACCACCATGGAAATCACATGAAGAATATGAAGCATTACTTTATTATTCATCACAACCATATATCAGTCATTATAAAAGATTGTTTAAAACAGGATATGTAAAAAATAAAACAGTATTAGTTATACGGTGTGGTTTTGGTAAGGTTGCATTACTTGCTCAGAAATATGGAGCAAGAAAAGTTGTAGCAATTGATGATAGACCAGTGTGGAAATTTTTTAAAAATGTTATAGAAAAAATGTCATTAACAGGAATTATAGTAGAAAATAAAACAGCTGGAGAAGTAAGGGAAAGATTTGATATAATAATTTGTGATTGGATGGGAATTAATTTATATTATGATTCACTATTAAATGAAATAATAAAATGTAAAAGGTTATTAAGAAATAATGGAGAAATTATTCCTAGTATAGGAAGATGTTATATTTGTGGTATTGGAGGATTGGAATATGTTGATGAAAAATATGATTTTTGGAAAAATGTATATGGATATGATATGTCAATACTTGTTAAAAATGTTGTTTGTACTGCATATATTGATTATATAGATGAGTCAAAAGTAATTACAAATCATTGTTTATTATATTCAGTTAATTCAATGACAATTCAAGAAATTGTTAAAAGAACAGTTACTTTCAAACTTTCTTTAAAAAGACCAATTCCTCTTGTTGGGTTTTGTACATATTTTGAAGCAGATATATCTAATCACCGAATATCTACTGGTCCTGGAACACAAACAGTTTGGAGACAATGTTGTTATTTATGTCCATCTCCATTAAATAAATGTAAAATAGATGATGTAATTGAAGGAAAATTTAAAATGTTTCAAAGAGAAACAAATCAACGATGGGTAGTTATAATTCAATATAATTGTGAAAAAAGAGGGTATTCAGGAAAGTATCAATATGAATTTTAATATATGTATTTCTTTTTTGTTGTTTTGTCTTATTTAATAATATTTAAAAAAAAATAATCAAATTCAAAATAAATGATAAATCAAAACATCAAAATTAAATAGAAGTTATGTTCCAAAACCAATTTGTATATTACATTTTCTTATATCCAACAGGAACATAATATTTATTCCAAATATTGTTATTATGTATATATTCCTGTTTCATTGAATCAATCATTTTAATAAGTTCTTCTGCATTAGGTCTTTTATCAGGTTCTTCATCTACACAACTATAATACAGTTGATGTACTGATGGGGGTACATAATTTTTACAAGCCTCATTATATTCTTTTATTTCAAGAGTAGGTCGTTTACCTGCAGTAATTAAATTTAAAATAGCAAAGTCATTTGCTGAAGGAATATTATATTCTTTAAACCAAGGTTTTGTGTATGACCCAAACACAACTCTTCTAAAAATTTCCCAAAAAACAATTCCAAGAGAATAAATATCACTTTTTGTAGTATATAATCCAGAATGTCCATCACTTGGAATAATTTCAGGGGAACAATATGGTATTGTTCCAGACAATTCTTTTAAATCTTTTTCTCGATTTTCAGTAGTATCAAATCGACTCATTCCAAAATCACTAATTTTTAATGTATAATCATTTGTTACAAGAACATTTAATGATTTAAAATCACGATGAAGAATAGATGGTTTATTATTATGTAATACTCCTAATCCAACACTCATTTGTTCACAAAAATTTAATGCAGTAGGAAAATCAATTTGTTGATTTGGATCATTAAGAACATCAAATAAAGAGAAATGTGCACAAAATTCCATAACAATTGATATAGTATCATCTATAACAATTCCAAAGAATTTTACAATATTTTTATGAGCAATAGTTTTTTGTATTTCAAATTCATGAAGAAATTCACTATTTTCTCCTAAATCAATACCTTCATCCATTACTTTTACTGCAACATCAAAGTCTGTTGTTCCTCCTTCCCTATTATTTTTTTTATAAATACCTCTATAAACACTGCATGTTGATCCTGTTCCAACTTTATTTGATCGAGATGGTTTTGTTTCTCCTGTAAATTCTATTTGATTTGATCCAATAGTCCATGAATCTACATTAGCTGGAAGTGATGATCGTTTAGATGATGAAAGTAATGGTTTTCTTTCAGGTGTAGTTACAACAACTGCTTTAATTTCTTTTTCTTCTGGAAGAATTAATTCAAATTTACTCAATGAATCTTTTAAAATAGCTATGTGTTTTTCTTCTTCTACAATAACTTCTAGTACATCAGTTAATTCTTCATCACTTAATGATTTAAGTAATTTTGGATGAAGTTCTTGTTGAAGAAATTTTCTTGCATATAAAGCAACAAATTCATTTGAAATAGATGAAAGCCATTGAAGTAAATTATGAACTTCATATAATTTAGTAATAACTGCCATTGAACCTTTTTCTTTAGCAAGACTTAATGGAGATTCATTTTTATTATTTAAACAATAAATATCAGCACCTCCTTTAACTAATAAATTAATTAAATCCACTCTATTTAAAACAACAACAAAATGTAATGCAGTATTTTTTGCTTTATTAGCAACATTAATATTTGCTCCATTATCAATGAGAAATTGAACAATAAGACCTCTAAGTTTTTGATTTTTAACAGTTTTAATAAGAGGTGTTTCAAGATATGAATTTGTAGCATCAATTTCAGCATGTAATTCAACAAATTTTTGTAAAACTGTTTTATATGATTGAACATTAGCAAAATGATTACAAAAAATATGTAAAGGAGTTTGTTCATCTCTATTTTTTGCATTAACATTTATTCCTGGAAATTGTAATAATGCCATAATAAAAGATGCATCAGAAGTAAATGTATTACATACGTAATGTAATATTGTTTGTTCAGCTTCATCATATTTATTGATATCAGCTTTTACTTTAATCATCACTTTGATTAACTCTTGTGACATCTCAAAATCTTTTCTAATAATCATAGAAACATATAACGGATTCTCCTCTTTCGTTTTAAATTTTTCAAATGTTTTTTTATCTACTTTTTTCTTATTAAGATATTCTTTTACTTTATCAGCTGTCTCATTACGTACAATATTGATTAATTTCGTCTTCTTGAACATGAAATATAATGATTAAAGTTCGTCCTTCCATTTTTTTTTCTTCCAAAAATGGTTTTCTTTTTATAGATTTCATTTTTCTTTTTCCAGTCATTCTTCTTTTCACTTAATAATTTTGTATTTTTTCGGGAAATATCTCCTATTACTATTGTTGTATTTTTATAAATGATTCTATTTATAAAAATAGAATGAAATAAAAACAAAAATAGAAAATGCCTGTTAGTTTCAAAAAAGGAAATAGAACTTATAACAAATCATCACTAAACCTTTATAAGTTTCATTTTATAATGACAGACTTTTTGATTCAATTGAATCGTAATAAAATTATGGATCTTCTTTGATAGCTATGAAGTAAAATTAGGAAAGATACAAATGTAACAATAGAGTGTTCATGAGGCATTGTTTTTTTTTATTTTTCAAAGAGAATAATAGAGATAAATGAAGTTCCAAAGATATTATTTATTTAAAGTATCAATACCATTGAATAAGTAGAAAAAAAAAAAAGAAAAACAATTAATTAATTTTTTTTTAAAAACATAAAAATTCAGAAGGTTAATCCAATAAGGGTTATTTACTAATTAATAAAGAAATCGATAATACATAATGAGAAAGAATTGAAAAAGGACTAATTGTTTATTTGAAAAAGTAGCAAAGATTAGAATTAAAGAGCTGTTAAGAAATGAACAAGAAAAGAAAAAAGGATGAAAAAAAACGCCCATTTAATTTTTTTAAATAGTTATTTTTGATGCTTAGGAAATTTCAAGATGAAAATAAGTTGAAAGGAATAATTTATAGTTCATAGAACTCAAAGGTTACAAAGTTATTAAAGTATACAATCTTTCTAATTACTTATTTGAGGATATTAATAACTTAGGAAAGTAAAATGAAATTTAAGGGGTATTTGTAAACAAGAAAAAGAAAATACAAAAATAGTGTTTAAATAATTTTAATCTAATAATTCAATTGTGTAATGACACAAGAAGTTTGGATAATCATTTTCTATAATTCTATTGCAATAGTTCAATGTTTATTATATAGGTAAGTGCTGTATGTGATGTTTTTTGTGAGGGATACAAAAAATGGAAACAAGAACTTGTTGTTTATGATATTAACGAACAAATGCTTATTGTTTATGTTAATGAAAAACGGTTAAGACCAAGTTTTAGAATGTCATTAAATGATGGAATTTTTGTTAAATTATTGAATGGAAGAACTATTGAAGATAAAAAGATTGAATATGGATTTGTTCTTATTGATAAAAGAGATCACTCATTCGTTCGAATTGTCTTTAACAATTCAAAAATACATGCACAGTTCTATATTCCAATTGCAAGAGAATGTGAATGTTTTGGTTGTTTTGGTATTCCATTAGATATTGCTGTTCAACGAGGAGAATGGAAAGTTCCATTACCAATATATAGGGCAATTCAATACTTACTTGAAGGAGATAACCTTCAAACTGATGGATTATTTAGGGTGAGTGCAGCAGGAAGTTTATTAAGTCAAACAAGAAATAGGTTAGATAAAGGAAAAGATATTGATCCATCTGAATTTTGTGATGCAAATGTTGCAGCTGGTATTATTAAATTGTATTTACGATCATTACCAGATTCATTAATTCCTGTTGAATTTTCTGATAAATTTATGAACATTGTTCGTTTAGAAGATCCTCAACAACAAATAGAACAGATAAAAGAATTTATTAAAACACTTCCAGAACCAAATTTGTTTGTTTTTAAATACTTATTCATGTTTTTAACAAAAGTTATGGCAGAATCCAAAATTAATAAGATGGTTGCAAGTAATATTGCTATTGTTTTTTCACCAAATTTATTATTCTATGAAGATAATCAAGATGGACTAATGTTATCAAAAAATGTTAACGATTTAATTGCTAAAATAGTAGAACGTTATGATGAAATTTGTGGAACAATTGAAGAATTTCCAGGTAATTTTCCTAAATTTAATCCTCAAAAAGAACAAGTTGATCACGAAGATTTTATTATTAAAAAGAAAAATTTAATTTTAAGGAAGTCTGTTCTTTTTACTGATATTGGAAAAAAAGTTGGACTAAAGAAAGAAACTGCTGAAGAGAAAAAAGCAAAAGAAGAAGAAATTGAAAAAGAAAAAACAAAAGAAGAAATGGAAAAGAAAGAACGAGAAAGATTAACAAAATCATGTAATAATTTAAATGCTCCTGAATCATCTTCATCAAATGTTAGTCTTGAAAAAGATGATAAAAGTGATGATTCTTCTAAATCTATTCAAACACCTCGTGGTGGATTATTTGATTCTATTGTGAATTTCCCTAAAAATCATTTAAGACCAACTCCTAAAGAAGATAAAGAAGAAAAAAAACAAGGTAAAAAAGAAGTATTAATGAAAAGAAAATCAATAAAACAAAAAAGTGATCCAATGGAAATATTAAATATGAGAGTTGGAATTATTGAAAGTCAAATTCAAGCTATTTTCCAAATGATGATTGAAATGAATAAAACAATTGATGCTATTGCAATTAAAAATGGTATTACACCAATTCATGAACAAGTTGAAAAAGTTCAACAACCATTAGATTCATTTATCTCTTCAGAGTCATGTATTTCAGACCATTCATCTTATACTTCTGATAATAAAAGTCATAATTCTTCAAAAGTCTCAGAAATGTCAGTTGATGTTGTTACTTCAGAACCAATCACACCTAGTATAAGTACTCCTCGAGTAGTTGAACATCAACCATGTAAAGAGTCTTCAGTCGACGAAAAAATTCCAACAAGAAAAGTAACAAAACAAGATGAATCAAAGAAGAAACGTCTTTCAAGAGTATTTAGTTCAAAATAATACTTTTTTTTATTAAATTTAAAAGAAAAAACATGAGATGAAATTCATTTTTTTAATCAAATTTAACTTTATCTTTTGGTCGTTGATATTTGTCTTCATTAACTACTTCAAATTCCTCAGGAGTATATCCTTTTTCAACTTCTTTAAATGATTCTTTAAATGCTTCATCAATAATTTGTTTTTGACTATCATCAAGTCTATTTCCAAGTGATACAGTAACATCTTTTTGAACACTAAGTCGTTTTAATGATTTCTTAAATTTCTTTGCCTCACATTTTTTCTTAACAAGATCAGGAGTTATTTGTTTATTTTTTTTCATGGACTCAATTAATTCATGATCAGTAACATAGAGTCCTTTTTCTTTTAATTGTTGTTTTACAAGTTTTCTAAATGTCTCAGCAGAATTAACATCTTGTTCAACATAACTACGTAATACTTGTGGAATAGTTAGTAGACCAATTAATAAACAAAAACTAAAGAATTTTACTGGAATAATAGTTAATATAGTTACTATTAATATTCCAGTAAATAACATACAATAAAATATCATAACTTTTGGTACATCTTTAGATAAAATACCTATCTTCTCATAAACCATTTCTCTAAAATGTTTAATTGGTTCAAGAACACTTTTTTTAAACCGGGTGTATTGAATATGTTTTACTTTTCCTTTCCATGGAAGCTTTTTTGATTCAACAACAATGTCTAAATGAAGAACAATAAGAAAGAGAGAGATGTAAACCAAACACACTGAAAACGAATTTAAAAAATCAACTAAGCTACAAATAAACATAAAAATTCCAAAAGATATTCCAGCAACAGTAAAATATGCTGTCGACCCATTATTTCCACTAAAACAATTATAAATATATGCTATATCCATTTTATGTTCTTTCCACCAACTAACATTTCCTTGAAGAACATCTGAATAAGACATTTTCTTTTTATTATAAGTTTCTTTTATTTTATTTTTTAGTTTTATCATTTTAATATGTTTTTCAATTTTTTTAAATGAAAAATTATTAAAATTATTGTTTTAAAATTATTTTCTTTAATTATGACGTTTATTAAAATCATCAAACTTTTTTCATTTTATTTCAAACATGTTTTTAAAGGTAATACAACCAAAATATAAAAATGTTTTTTCTTCCAAATATTTAAACCTTTATTCATTTCTTAATGACTTTTCATTTACATCATCAAAGTGATATAGTTCTTATTTTTTTTTTGTTTTTCTTAGGATAATTGATTTATTAAACAACAATTTATAAATGTTATAGGCTCATTCTCTTTCTTGAAAATTATTAAACAACTCTTTTTAAATAAAACAAATTTTTAAAACAATAATTGGAATATTTTTAATACTTTCGAATAAAAAGTTTGGATAATAATTTTAAATTTAATAATTTTAAATGAACAAATAACAATAGAATTACATTTAATCTAAATTGGATAATACTGTATACAACTTAGTGAGAAAATAACTCTTTAAAAAAAGAGAATTAAAAGTTATACCAATAGTAAAAGAAATGTATTGAGTTTAAATGGATTGAAAGTATTTTATTTGAATAATAAAATTATAATAAAACAGTTTTAATATAACAAAAACATTAATATAAGTTATTATAATTTAAAATAAAGATTTTATATTTGTTCTGCTTTAAATCTCAACAATAATAAACCTAAATAATTACTAAATGATTAAATTTGAAGAAATTAATTGAAAGAAATTGAATGTGAAATATCTCCAATTAATTCTTTTGAATTGAATAATAAATCTTTAATTTTTTGAATTTGACATGATGGAAAATTTTGAATACGTTTAGTTGTATCAGCATTTACTTCAATACCATTAGAAGTTGATGTAAATGAAGTGATCAAAGTACCAAGACAATTCCAAATTAAAGAAACATCATTTTCACAACAATTTCTTTTAAGATAAGACAAATACCATTCATTTTGTTTTTTCCAAAGAATTATTGCATATTGACCATTTGAATCAAATCGCCCAACAAAATCAATCACCCCAAAAATACCTACTTTATTTGTTAAACTTCTTCCAAATTCAAAATGAAAATCAAAAGGTAATGATGGCATTCTAGTTCTTCTTGGCTTTCTTCTTTCATTTAATCCTTTTGGATTAATAGATATATTTTCAAATGAATTAATTAAATAAACTCTAATACCAAAATTTCCAGTGAGAAGTAATTCAAATTTTTCTTTAGTAAGAATTATATCATATGGAATAACTTTATGATCAAACAATGAACTAGAATGTGGTAGTCTATATATAAATGCTGATAATGATTCAATTGGTTTTATTTTGTAAAGTCCTAAAAATAATGAAATTAAAGTTGAAGTACCAAATTGATCCATTAAAACATTTTTATAACTTGAAATTAATAATGAAGGTGTTGATTCAATTTCATTAAGATCAAATGATGGTAAAATTAAAGTTAATGAAATACCTCCAAGACTACTTAAGTATTGAATAAAAGAAGGAGAACTTTCATTTACACCTTTGTTTTGAATTTGAATTGATAATGAAATAGGATTAATTTTAAGATAATCTACAATTAATTGCATTGGATTAGATACTTTATATCGTTTTAATAATCTAAAATCATCTTTTAATTGAATTAGTTTAGAAATTAGTAAAGTATCTGTTTGTATTTTTAATGGTTGAATATTAAATGTTAAAAATTTAATATATGTTAAACTTGTTTGAAAAGAAGGAACAAATGATATTCCAAAATGAACCATTCTTTGAGTCTCTTCTTCTATCCATTCTGATTTTTCATAATTCATTGAAACAATACTTATTGGTCCAACATTATCTTCCCACATTGAATCAATTTGAAAATAATCACAACAAACTTCTAATGCTATTTCTTCATTTATTCCTCCAATACATTTAAATCCAAAAATACTTCCAAATATTATTTCTTTAGCAAATTTATCAAAAACACTAATTCCAATAGTTAAAATTTTTAACTCCATTATTTCAATACTATTTTCTTCTACTTCTTCTTGATATTGAATTTTCATAACAACTCCTTTTTCAAGTTTAAATGAAATAATACAATTGTTATCATTAATTTTTATTTTTGTTGTATTAATTTTAAAAGGTGAAACTTCTGTTCCATTAATGATAAATATCTTTTCTTTATTTAAATCTTCCCATGCAATTGGACATCCTTTCATTGATGGAATATGAAAAATATGTTTACACATTTTTTGTTTAACATCTAAATCAATATTTAATTCATTTTCTATTCTCAGTGTTGGTGATGAACATCCAGATAAGGTACATACAAACACATCATTTGTTCTTTTAATTGATACATGGTATATTCCATCAAAAAATAAATCACTTGACATTGACTGATCTAAATTTAATAATCTTTTAATACCATTTCGTTCAAGTAATATTTGTTTAGTAAGTAATGGGATCATTGATTTTGGATATATCACTCCTTCTTGTTGGTGTGTTTTAAAGTTAAATGTATAATTTGTTTCATTATGAAAAACAAATTTATGTTGTAATGAAACAAAAATAATATGTTCACTTGGTTTTGACTGGTAACAATGTTGAGATGAAGTAATAATATATTGTTGTGTTTTACATGATGCAATAATATTATAATTTAACCCAACAGAAACATTAAATGCATAACAATCGCTTTTATCTTCTATTACAAATGTTGTACTCTCAGTAACAACAGAAGTACTAGATGGATATGCTTTAAGATCATTCATAACTTTCAATTCATTCCACATAATTGGAATAATTGAATTATTAATTACATAAACAGGAATCCATATTTCAAGTGTTGTTATTCCAAGATTTGTTGTAAGTTTTCCTCTCATAAATTCATTAATTTGAAATGGCTGGTCATTTGAAGGTAATTTAAAACAGTATCTTTCTTGTGAAGGAAGATAATATCCATTCAATGCCTCTTCTAATTTTAAACTTATTTCTGTTGGAATATTAGTTATTGTTTCTGAGTGGAATGGATCAATAACAAGTTGACTACGTTTTGAATTTGATTTGAGGTGATAGTTAGTTTTATATGGTAATGACGAAATGATTTGGAATCTATTATATAAATGAATTTCATAAAAACTAATAGAATCAATTGATGATGTATTAAATATCATTGATATTGAATGATTGGATAATGATATAACCTCATTCTTTAATACACCATCATTATGTTGTTCATTTACATCTGGCATTGGAATAAAAGAACCATTAGATAAGATAAGATGAATAGGAATTGTAGTAATTATTGGATGAAATGAATATTCTTTAAATGGTGGTAAAATAACATTATACGGTTTTGGATTTTGAAGACTTTTAAAAGTAAGTGAAAATTGTTCATTAATATGATTTATAAGAAGAATACCACTTGTTAATGTCAAACAATTATTTTTATATAATACAATTAATTTCCCACTAAACTTTCCATTTCTTAAAAGATTATATTGACTTGTTTTAAGATGAATTTGAATAGGTTCAAATCCATTAATATAAATAATAAATAAGTCATTAAATGAAATTAACATTTCTGTTAATTCATTAATTTTATATTCTTTTATTGGTGTTTTAACAATAACCTTAAATGGAGTTGTATTTTTAAATTGAATCATTTTAAAATCTGACAAAGAAACAGAGTCATTATCTGGTTTCTTTTGAAATGAATAACAAAAATCATTAATATCTTTCATAAAACTTGGAAAAACATTTAATGCAACTTCTTTACAAAAGATTTGAGGGACATTCCTTTGTGATGATTTAATAGTAAAATTTGTTGGTTCTAAAATGAAAAACCATTCATCTAAGTCATACACAAAACTAGTAATTTGAACATACCCATCACCATCCCATTTAAAAGAAGCATCTTCATTCATAACTCTTCGAATAAATATTTCTTCAAATGATAATTTACAAATTGGATATGACCACCATTTATTATATTCATTATCATCTTTATATATTGAAATATCAATATTTCCATGTAACTGAAGTGATCTTAAAGCTTTTTTAACATTTTGAGAAACATTTAAATGAAAAGAATGTTGAATTGAATATAAATCAATTGGATAATATTCATTATTTGTATTTTCATTACCAAAATGATGATATTGCATATATAATTGTTTTAAATTACAAATATCTGATGATGAAATATTAATATCAATATTATCATTACAAACTTCTAAATTCCAATAAATATCTTTTATTTTATTTCTTTGTAATATAAGAATAGTCGTTGTAGGACAAAGAATATCTGGAACTTTTGTAATAACGTGACTTGAAGAAATTATTTGATAATTCATTAAAATTATTCTTAATTGTTCATTTCCCCAATCATTTGAATAAGTCATACTTGTATATCCTTTTAATTGAAACACATCTAACCATTCTTTATCTTTAATATAAAGAATCCAATGTTTAATAAAACACTGATAATCATTATAACTATTTATTGTATTTATATTTTCTTTTGACTCGCCATCAATTAAAGATGAAATAAAATTGAATGAACGTTTAATAGACATCCAAATGAAATGAATAGTTTGAATAATTGTATTCATTATTGGTTTTAAAAATTCAATACATTGTTTGATTTGAATAGGAGAAATAGCAATTATTGGTGATGAAATATTTATTGATATTTTTTTTAATTGACTTTCTTCTACTTTCTTTTCAATTTCAATAAAATTTGTTTGCTCGTTTTGAGGTGAATTAACTAAACACGTTTTTATATTCTCTTTACAATTAATATCTTGAACTTCTATTACTTTAATATGTCCTTTATATTCTTTACCTTCTTTTTGAAAAAAAACTTCTTTAATATTCATTAAAAATGACTCGTTGATATTTGTATGAATCCCTTGACAGTTGACTTTGAACCTAACTCGAAATCCCATCACCTGTCTTAACTCAATTATTTTATGTTTTTTAAGTTCTTAATAATTTTATTTTTTAAAAAACAAAAAATATCACTAACAAATTGTTATAAATAACAATTTATAATTATTATTTTCTTTATTCATCTTCATCTAATCCTGCTAATGGATCAAATAGTTCTCCTTCATTTGTTTGTTCTTTATAGACAGGTTCAGCTGCCTTTGGTTTATTCATTTCTTCCATTTTTTGTTCTATAATTTGATAAGTTATTAAAATAATTAAAAGAATAGAATTGATGAATAAAATTAACAAACTTAATTTCTCTTCTTCTTTTGCTTTATCAATATCTAATATTTTCTTGTAAATATCAACGTATTTCTTTAATTGTAAAATAAATGGAATATTTGGGTCTTGAGATTTAACGGTGCATTCATGTAAAAATAATTTTTCTTGTAAAAACAATGAATATAAATCAGATCCATGCATTTTCTTTTGTCCATCTTTTTCAATAAGAATAACGTCATGCATAATCCATCGATATCTTTCCTATTTAAATTAATTTTGTTATTTCTTTACTATAAATTATTTATTTTTTTAACAAAACGAAAAACAAACAAAAAACTCTGCTGGAGAAGTACTTTCTTGTTGTCCTTTTTTCTTTGATGACTTTTTATTTTTTCCTTTTTTCATTAATGATACATTAATATTTAATTTACTTTCTCTTAATTTGAATAATTCTTCAATTGTATAGATATTTATTTTTTCTGTTGACATGTAAAATTATGTCATTTTGAAGTTCTCTTTTTTCCTTTTCTTTTTTATTGCTTCTTTTTATTATTTATTTTATTATTATTTATAAATTATTAAAACTATTAAATTATATTATTACTTAAACTATTCTTTTGATTGAGTAAAGAATAAATGGTTTAACGCTTGAATCGAATTAAATCGTTTTGTTGGATCAATAACAAGAAGTTTTTCTAATAATTGTGCAAATGTATATACTACTGATAAATGTTCATTATTTTCTTTTAATGAATGAATTAATTTTGATGCGATTCTAATAGGTTGTTGAGAATAAGAAATTCTTCTTGCAAACTCTTTTCCAAACACATCTGTTTCATAATGAATGAATTTAAAATCTTGTGTAAAATGACTTGATGAAAGTTTTCCTTCTCGAATCATTTTATGAGGAAATGAACCTTTAAGTTGAATAATTTGATATAACATATCATTATTACTCTCACCAGTAAATAAAAATGAATGTGTAAATAATTCATATAATGTTACACCACTACTCCAATTATCAAATGATCCATCAAATGGATATCCAATCATTACTTCTGGTGGTCTATAATATCTACTTCCTAATTCACTATCAATAGTTAATTCATATGGATGAAGTGCTGTACCAAAATCTGCTAATTTGATTATATCTGAATGAAGGTTAATTAAAATATTATCAGGTTTAATATCACAATGATATATTTCACATTTTGTATGTAATACATGAAGAGCTTCAAATAGTTGTTTTCCATAACGTTGTATATGAAATATATCAATTCCTTCTTCATTTGGTTTATGTGATAATAATTCTCTCAAACTCATATCCATTTTTTCAAGAACAATACAATAATGATCTTTATACATAAATTCACTTATTAACTGAACAATATAAATTCCTTTTAATGACATTATTTCTTTTACTAATTGTGCTTCTTTTTGTGATAATTTTACCATTCTTTCATTTTTACGAATAATTTTTAATGCAACTTCTTCTTTTATTGTTGTTATTTTTTTAGCTAAATAAACAGTTCCAAATGTCCCTTGTCCAACCTTCTTTTCTAGTTGATATCCATTTACAACTTCTCCATTTCTTCCAACTATAATGAATTATTATTCCTTCTTTTTATTCATCTCTTTCCAAAAAGAATACAAACGAAAATATCCATCTTTGTCTGTTATTGATTCAATAGCTTCATTGAACTGGTGTTGTTCTTTTGTAATGGGAATATCAATAGAACTATCATCCCCAAAAATGTCTATTTCACTAGACATATTTAACATTTTTAAGTTTATTATTCTTCTTTTTTTCATAGAAATTAAATAATGATAAAACAATGAATGACTGAATTTATCTTAACTTCTTTGATTCAAACATAAATTGTGTATTTTCTACTATTTTCTTATCAGTACAGGCTAAATGCACCCACTTTTCTGTTAATTTTTTGTGACGTTCTAATGTTGTTTTAATTTGTTCATGAGTTGTTTTTACTAACTGAATAACATCTATTGACAAATCTTTTTTTCTTAATAAAGAAATAATAATCGGCTGAGCTTTTTCTAACTTAAATATTAACTCATTTGTTTCTGTGTCTTCTTTCAGTTGTTCTAACTTTTATAATTAGTGGTTTTCATTTTATCTAATTAACAATTATATTAAAAACAACAAACTTCCAAAATAGTTAAATAATCAAATGACTGGTTTAAGAACTGACAATAACCAATTAATTGTTCACACTCATCAATAAACTTTGATTTAGATACTTTTGTTACAAATGAAATTTCTTTGTCTATACTATTATGTTTGTCAATAAATTAATTAAAATAAACAAACCGAAATGAGCTGCTTCAGGAAATTCAATACCATGTTGAATTATTTGTTCATAAGTATCTTTGAATAGTAAGTCATTTGGGAATGATTCTGTCATTCCTCGAATAATTGACAAGAGTTTCTTCTTTGTTTCAATTAGTACATTAGTTCGTAGTAGTATTGTGATAAAACAATCTTGCCAAGCACTTGTTGAATACAAATCAATAAGTTCTGGACATTCAATAATTGTTTGTTGAAGTAAAACAAGAGATAAATAAACAACATTATCTCTTTTATTGAGCATTCTTTTTCTTAATACATTCAATAAATCTTTAGCTTTATTCTTATTGGCTTTTAGTAAGTTACATATTCTTAAGTTAGTTGATTCATCAATAATTTTGAGATCTGTAGCTGTTGCATATTCAACTAATTGAGCTGCTAAGTCCCATGTTATTTTTCTTTTTAGTGTTTTAGATTTTTGGGATTTATTCATTGACATAAATAACTGAAATCCTTCTTTGGAACATGAAGTCTATCTTAGATTCTCTTTTCATCTCATTTTGTCATTTCTTTTCTGTCATATCATTTTATTAAAGTCATCGTATCACTTTCTAGTGAAAAGGTAATGAAACCAGAACTGAAAATAATCGAAGTATTCAATCAACTGTTTATTGGCCAAAAGAATTCATAGTGAGATAATTCATGGCTTGTTGTGCTTTCCAATTAATATAAAACTCGTGTTGTTTTTCCAAATAATTTTTCATTGCGACTTGAATCTTTTCTTCAGTGATTGGGCCTCTTCCTATAAGTGAATTAATTGCAGTATTTCTTAGTACAACAAGGTCTGTTGTCATAAAATCTTTTTCTTCATCTTTTGAATGTGGACAACACTGGTCATATAACTTTAATAAAATTTGAGTTGTAGAATTATTGGTATCATCGCTAAGTTCAATTGGCATTATATTTTGATTATACATAGAGGCAAGTTGTTGTTCAACGTTCATTAAATGAAGAATAAAAAATAAGTTCTTTTGAAGAAAAAAAAAGTTTTATTTTCATCTAAAAAAAAGGAAAAACCCAAAAGAAGACTAAGGAATCTAAAATTCATTTCATTTGTCCAATGAGCTTTAGAAGTGTTGCATCATTATCTAACATTTGTAATCAACGAAATGAAATACATAGACAACTCAGAAACAAAAAAAGAGATCAATTATTACAAACAAAAAGAGAACCACACTCACTTCCTGATGTTTGTTCGACAAATGATTTTCCAATAGTTGTAGATAATCTTCAAAAAAGAATAGACGTCGAAGAAAATTTAAGAAGATTACGTTTTATCATTGTTAAAACGAAAGGGAATTGTATTGATACTTTAATTGATTATCATGGTCTTCCAGCAATTAGCCAAATTCTCACTGATAAAAGTAGTAGTACTAATAGTTTAGAAAGTTGTTTATGGATTTTTATTAATATTACTTCAATGAGTGATGTTTATGTATTTCATGTTTTATCATTAGGAATATTAAGTTATGTATTAACACTAACACAACACTCAGTTGAAAATATTAGGACAAACGCATTATGGGTTATCAGTAATATTGCTACAACAAAAAAGGCATTTAATGATAATGATGTTCTTCAATATTTATTACCAACAATTACTCAAACTTTAAAAATGTATATTGACAACACACCAACAGTTGAAGCGTGTGCTTCAATATTTGAAAAGATCACATTAATTAATCAATACCAATATCAATATTATCATCCAATCATTGTATTATTTTATGGATTACCTCGATATCCACATGAATTTATTGATGGAATGACTCAATTAATTACACAAAAACAAATGAAAAAAGCGATATTCTCAAATGAGAGATTATTACCCACATTGGCATCTTTACTTGACCCACAACATTCTCAATTAACCCAATCAATATTAACATTCTTTGTACAAGTCACAAACTTAAGTCAGAAGTATTCTCAAAAATTATTTGATGATGATACATTTGAATTTATTTTTAATAACTTTAAAGAAAGAATTCGTTTATTGAGGGAAAATGAAACTGAGTCACTTGAATTATACTTTATTATTTGGGGAAATCTCTGTCTTCTTGGAGGAAATGCTATTAAATATATTGATGACCATAAAGTTCTTATTCAAATATTAGCAACATTTCAGTGGTATATTAGAAGTGATTATGATTCGTTAGTGTTTGTATTTAATAATATTATTCTCTATGGATTTTATGAAGTTAAAGAATATATTTGTTGTGAACAACTTTTTTTGATTTATACTTATTTCTTAAAAGATATTGATAAAACACCACAAAGTACTTATGAAGCATTAAATGCATTAAGATTATTATTAGTTTTTGGAGATGAAAATGACTTAGATACTAAAAATTATTACGTTTCAACAGGATTGGAAAGTATTATTAATGAACTTTGTTCTAATTCCATTAGAAAAATATCTGACTCTGCTCAATTTATTTATGATTTGTTTGAGGTTGAAGATAATTTAGAAATGTCAGAATGAGTATTATTTGAAATTTGAATGATTTGAAATTTGAATGAACCATATTCTTCTTGTTACACTTAATTAAAATTATTTCTTTTTTTATTTTGAGTAAAAATATTACTAATTTTCTTTTCTTTAAAAAAAATAAATTGAGAAATATAAATATCTTTAAAATGGTTTCATAATACTAATTTATTAATTGATTTCAATTAACTGAATTAAACAAACATCTTTATCACTTATTTTACACCTTTTTTATTTCTTTTTTTTATACTAGAAACTAACTTTACTATTATTTATTAATGCCCTGATTAAATTAAAAAATCTTCAACTCATATTCTCCAATTTTATTAAACATAGATACATTTCTGTATCAACAAAAAAGTAAGAACAAGTAAAGACATTATACTTATTTAAATTATCAGTTATTATGATAAACTATATATTATCCATTAAAAATTCACAAAAAATAAATTAGATAGATACAACAAATAACATCTATTCTTAATAGATGCACCTATATCATTTATGCACATATACATATATTTATTTTTAATCAATACAACTCTTAGAATATATCTAAATGTTATTTTCAATCATCAAATAAGAAAAAATAATATTTAGTAAGTGTATTAAAAAAATACATTTAAAAACAAAAGAATACTGATAAAAAAATCAAAATTACTTTAATTTTATTTATAAATTGATTCTGTATAATATAATTACTTATATACATATTGCTTTATTAATACTTAATAAATAACTGAAAGATGACTAACTCGATAAACTGGTCATAATCAAAGTCAAAACCATATTATGTTCCTTCAATTTACAAAAAAATAATTTTTTTAGGATAGTTTTTAGTAATTAAAAGTAATAACTTGTTAATTTATCCAACAGAGTTTTTAATACTAAACCTAATAAGAAAGAGTATGTATCTTAACAAAATCCTCTTTTGAAAAAAGAGTTAAGGAATAAAAATTCTCGATGTTTTGAGAATGTAATATAACTCTAATCAATAAAATATATTTTAAAAAGAAGAAATACTTGGTTTTATTCAAAGAATGAGTAATTTTTTTTCAAAGTTTTTTAAAATAAAAGGAAAAAAAGTTATATTTACACAGAGGAATAATTTTAGCAAAAACATGAAAGAGAAAATAGAATTTGGAGTAACCAAGAATGAGACTTTCTCTCTAAGTTAATTTTTTAAAGTGAATACAAAATATCTGCAATTCTATAAAAAAGAATGATAGAATTAAAGAAGTTGAAATAGAATTAGATTTAAGTATAAAAATAGATGGTATTGACTATTCTATTTAAGAAGAAGTTTACAAACAAACATTTAGATTCCTTTATAGTGAAAGAATAAACTTGTATAACAGTTATTGAAATTAAATCAAGATTTCTTAAACACTAAAACTAATAATTGATTTATCACAATATGGGAAACCAAGAGGGTAGAAGTCAATGTATGGCTATTGAAGATATTGCTCTTGGCAAATGTAGTCCAATGTATGGAAGGTCTGGTAGTCTTTCTCCTATAGACCAACCTTTCAAAGAAAGCTCCAAAGAAGTTTTCACTCCAAGACTTTTTAAGACTCCACGACTTAATTCTACTGAAGTTCAAAGTAAAAAAAGAGCGTTTTCTTTATCACGGGTTAATCAAACAACCCCCTCATCACCTAGAAAATTAAAAAATATAGAAATTTCATATACTCCATCTAGTTATAAAGCAGAAAATACTTTTATTAATATAAATTGTATTGATCACCGAAGAGAAGATTCTCGTTCAAGGTCTAAAAGTCATTCACTTTCAAACTCTAAGTCAGTGTCAAGATCAGCATCTCCTTCTTTTAATAAAGAAAGAGAAATAATACGACTTAATGAAATAAAAGTTAAAGACTATAGAATAGAAAAATTAAGAAATTGGATTGGAAAAAGTAATTATAAAATAATTTACGACAGTAAATTAGATGGTCTTACAGCACGTGATTTAAATTCTCATGTTTGTGGAAAGGGTAATATTGCTTTTATTGTATTAAGAAATGGAGGGGAATGTTTTGGATGTTATCAACATGATCCAATTGCACTTTCTAGACCTACAAACAACAAATTATTTTCTTCAAATCGTTTCTTTTTGTTTGTCTTTAATGGAGCATTAAATTCTACGTTTAAGAGAAAAACTGAAGAAACAATTATTGTTCATCCAAACAATGATCCATATTTTGTTTTCACTGCTTGTTCTGCATTTTGGATTCTTCAAGATGGAACAGTTTCATTTCATCAATTAATAAAAGAAAATTATATTATTCCAGATATTGTAACTAACCCATTTTGTTGTAAATCACTAATGAAGAAAATACCAATAGACACTTTGCTTGCTGTCCAATGGTATTAATTTGTATGTAATAAAATAATTCAATAATTTTTAGGGTTTTCATTTCTCTTAAGTTTCGAATTATTATTTGAATGAAGAAAAATTATCAATAAAAACTCAAAGAAATTAACTTTTTAATTCATAAATTACTCCTTCATTTTTATTTTAAAAATTAACAAAAATAAAACATAAAATTTATGAGAATTTACTCAATTGAATGCTTTAAAGCTTAGCAAGCATGAATCTTAGCACAGATGGCATTAGCATCAACTTTGTCTTCAATGAGTTGAATGAGTTTATCAACTCCAAAGTCAAGAACCTTAGTGCAAAGAGTAGCAATAAATCCTGAAGCTTTGTTGCAAAGGCTATCAATGTAATCTTTTACTTTATCAGCTCCCTTAGTGGTAAGGAGGTTTTCAAGAGTGTTAATAAGTCCAGTGCAAAGATTGCAGACAATTGGTCCTTGGCGGAGAGTAACAGCAAAGGCAACAGCGAAGATTAAAACAAAGACGATGGCTTTCATGATTGTTTAACAGATGTGGTTTTACAGTTTTCAACCAACTCTTTAAATAATTCCTGGTGATGTGGCTGATTTTTCCACCAAACTTGAATTTCTTAAATTACCCTTTTTATCAGATTTTAGATCTTCATTTTTCTTCTCTTTTCTTATTTTTTTTATTTCCCTTCTATACTTTTTTTTGAACAAAAATAATTAAACCGCTTATTACATTTCTTTTTTTCAATTTTATTAAAAAAGAATAAAATGTTTAAGGATAAGAAGATTCTACATTTGACCGAAGTTTTTCTTCATTTAGTGTTTCATTTTTTTTCCTGTTAGTTTTTTAACAATAAACGGCTTGTATATTTTAGAGAATTTAATGTTATAATGTTATTCTAAAAACATAAATTAAATAACGTTATAATTTTTATAAAAATATATTTGTGTTATCAATTATTATTAAAGAAAGAAGGACTAAGAGTAAGAGGTGTTGTTTGAGTAAGTTGAGAAGTAATTTTTATATTGTATTGATGCCCTTTTTCTCTGACTTCATTTGTTTCCATTAATAAAATATTTTTATGAAAGATACGTACTAATCCTTCATAACCTTCTTTAGTTTCCTTTTGTATTTCAAATAAATATCCAAATTCAAACAATAAATCAATAAGAAGGTTCATAACTATTTTCTTCTTAATTGGTTGAAGCCTTCTTAGTGCAGTTTTCGCATTGATATTTTGTTTTGAACATTCAAGACACATTTTCATAGAGACTCTATCTTTTGTAAATTTTATCACATTAATACTATCAAATCTATTAAATTCTATTTCTTTAATCTTTACAAATTGTTTAGTTAATGAACTATATCTATTTGGTTTACCAACAATGATTTTACAATGTGCAGATAATAAACAAAGACAGACAGATTGAAGTTCAACTTGAAGGTTTGTTTCATTCCAATGTTTAAATTTAAATTTAGGAATTTGTTCTTTTGGGTATTTAGGAATTATTTCTTCACAACATCCTTTATCTATTTTATTAAGGTTAGATTTTTCATCAACAGATAAAGAATTCTCTTCATTAATAGAACCATCTTCTGTTAAACTTGAATTTTTTATAGAGGAAGGCATAATAGGTGAACAAAGAGTGAGAGTGTTTCCAGAAAGCATTAGATTATTTTGAAGTAATTATAGTTATTTAAACATTTAAACAATTCAAGAAAAAAGTATAGATACTAAATATTTTGCAAATGCTTTTGTCTTGGTCTTAAATTAGATGATTGAGGTTAAGTTCTCATCTATCTGAGAACCTTTTCAGTCGTTAATTTATTTATAAAATTATTGAAGAAAATAAATCTATTTTTGAAATTGTTTAACTTCTTTGATTAGATATTTTTTTTGTTTTCTTTATCTTCTATTTGTGAACAGTATTATATTCTTAAATGTTCGTTGAAGAATTTAATACATTATAAGCTCAAATATCTTTTATTGAAAATGAAAAGAAGAATTTGTTTTTATTAGAAGAATGACACTCTTAAACAAGATTACTTGAATGGTTATTATTTTGTGAAAAATATATTAGTAAACTCCTCTTTAGTTTTCTTTCATGGAAATTTAAAGATTTTTCATTTTATATCTCTTTGTAAAATATCATTAAAAACTAAAAACTTAAATAGATAAATCTCACCTAAACAATTTTAAAAATCCAAAACAAAATAAATATTTGTTTTCATTTATTATTTTAATTGATCCATCCAACTACGCTCATCATCTAATTTATAGAAACATGTTGAAATAGACCATTGAATGAGTCGAATAAATTCATCTGCATCTTGTTCTTTGTTAAACACAATACCAAGTGGTTGTAATTCACTATATTTTACTAATGTCACATTTGGTCCATTTGTACTAGAATTAATATCACAACTTAATTCGTATTCTTTAACAAGAACGTTTTTCTTTTCTTTCTTCCCAAAAAAATAAATTTTATCATTACATAATTCTATAGTCACTTGTTGTTTCTTTTTATCTTTTAATTCTCCTTTTGCAGTAAATAAATGAAATCTTCCTTTTGCAACAATAGAATCTATTTGATGCTCTTTAGCAACTTCAACAAGTCTATCTCTCATTTTTGCTCTTTCATTTAAAATTTGACAAAATTGGTGAAATCCTGAATATGCACTTTGAAGCGTTGTATAATCTGGATTATATGGTGACGTTACTTTCATTAACCCTTCTATCATCATAGGATATCTCATTGCTCTTTGAACTGGTTGAATTAATAATTGTTCTAATGTTTGTGGTGAAATCTTTTCTGCTGCTTGTTGAACTACTTTTTTTCCATTTATTGTATTTTTAATTTCTTTCCAAACTGTAGCCATAGTATTATAACTAATACTATATTCTAATAATGGAGTAATAAATTGTAATGTTGAATTAATAATTTCCCCTAAATTTGTATCATATTTATATTCATTTATTCCTTGTTCCAATGTTACTAATATTGATTTACTTGCTGCAATACATTGATTTAATAATCCAAATACTGTTTGTACTTTTGGTTCATTTTCTAATGGGTCTGCAAAATAAATTTTCATCATTTCCATGTTTTTCAATAAACTACGTTCTGTTTCAACAAATTCAATAAATGCATCTTTTCTTTTTCTTAATGAATTAGTATTATACATCATTTGCATCATATGTCTTCTTATAATTTCTTCTAATTGAATAACTTCTTGTTCATTATATTTCTTTTGGCTCCAATCTTTTTCAATCCTTTCTATTGTGTCAAGTGATTCACGAGTTTTAGGAAGTGGTGAAATCATTTTTTTTTCTTTTTCTTTTTGTTTTGGTAATTTAACACTTTCTTTTTCTTTATTCTTTAATGGTTCTTTAAATGATTTTCTTTTCTTCATTTTCTTTTCATTTGCTTCAATCTCAGCTGCTTTCTTTATGTCTGGAAGACTTTCCATCTTTTTATGTGGTGAATTACCTCTTACTGGCTGAACTTTTAACCCCTTAATCTTTTCAGGTGGAACTCCTAATGGATTTGCTCCTTGTGAACGGCGTGTTGGAGAAAGAAGAGGTGAATATGTTCCATTATCTAATGCACTTTTTGATAAAAGATCACTATGACGTTCTGAATCTATTGAGGTAGCCGATCGAGGAGTACAATTTGATTCAACAAAATCAGTTCCATCCGAAATAATCATTGGAGTATACCAATGTTTTAGTTGTTCCAATATAACAAGATTTTTAGAGTCATGTTCAACATTTTTAATATATGACAAAAAGAATTCACTTTGTTCTTTATCAGGATCAAATAACATAATTGATTCAACAACTACATCATTCATTCGCTCAAATAACTCATAAATAAACTCATTCAAATTTAGAGGTTTAACATAATTTAGAACATCTTCTAAATGAATACCAAATCGAAGTAATGTTAATCCAATAAATATTTCATTGGAATATGTTGGTGGACCATTTGGATTAATTAGAAATTCAAAATAAATTGGTAATTGTTTTTCAATCAATGAATCAACTTCTAATTCAAATCTTTCTTCTTTTTTTGAAGAGTTCATTGACAAAAAAACTGAAATAGCTGACTTTAAAGCAATAGGTTTTTGTAAACAGCTACGAGGAATAGCAAACCGATTTCCATTAATTAAAAAAATAACTAATTCATTAGAAAATGTTTCTTGATAAAATGATTGGAACTGAGTTGTATTATATTTATTTCCAATTTCTTTTGATTTATAGTCAAAAGAGAATTTCTTTAATTGAAGTGTCTGTTTAAATCGTGGGGATAACATGTTGTCAAGTTCTTTCTATTTTTTGATTCTTTTATTTCATCTTACAAATCTCTAAAAATAGTCTTTTCTTCTTTTTTAAGTTCTTTTCCTCCTTTCTATTCTTCCTTTTCTCTTTTCCTCAAGTTTACATTCATGTCAGTTAAAATTTTCATGAAGAATTCAATTAAAATGATTCGTCATCATATTCAGAACTCCACCACATCACTATAAGTCCTATAAGAATCATTGTTACTGTAAGTAGTACCATAGAAACAAATGGATGTTCTGAAACAAGTATTGAAAGAAGTGTTTGTTTATTATTGTCTACTTGGTTATGTATTTTATTCTTCTTATAATTCTTTTTATAATTTTTTTTTCGTTGAGATTGAGTATTATTTGTTTTTAATCCTTCTGTGATTATAACATCATCTTGTTGTAAATTATTTTCTTGTGAATCTTCAATACTAGGGAATTTGTTTGGTTGATTAATTTTTGGAGTTATTTCGTTGAAAGAATCTTTTCTATTTATTTTATGATATGTTCCAACTTTATCTGCTGTAGTACTTTTAATTCTTTTCTTTTTACTTTCTTTTTCTAATAAAAGAGGTGTTATGGTTTTTATGGTTTCTTCTTTTTTTACTTCTTTTGGTTTAATTGATTCAACACTTAGCTTTTTGTGGTGTTGTTCTTTTTTCTTTTCATTGTTTCCTTCTCTTTTTTTCTCTATTTTGTCATGACCATTATTATCTGTTTTTATAATTTCTCTCTGTTTATTTTCTTTGTCTTGAATAAAAGAAGTGCTATCAGATTGTAATGAATTTGATTTAGTTATATGATGTTCTTGTTTTGTATGGTTTTCTTCTTTAATTTCATTATTAGTATTATTTATATTATTGTTATCTATTTTATTATTAACTTGGTAAGGTTCTTCACTTTCTTCAATAGAAGTTGTGTCAGTTTGTTCATTTGTTATTTCAGATAAATCTGATGTTCCAATGATTTCAGATGCATAACCCAATTCACTCGTATTTTCTTCACTTTTATCTTCTTTATTTATGGTGTTTTCTATTCTTTTTCTTTTTGGAATAAATGGTGTGGCATTGATTTTGAATGGTAAAGCATTTGGTAATGAAGTCCTTCTTTTTTTCTTTTGTTCTTCATTTTTTTTAATCACTGTAAGTTGAGTGCCTTCTTTCACCCCAATTTCTTTATGTTTAGTTTTTTGACTAATAATCCCACTACACTTTAGAAGATGAACTAATGACCCTATCTTATTTTTAAAGTCATGTTCATTTCCTTTGTTGTCCATTTGCATTTGGTTCCATTGATCTCCCCATCCACCATTTAAATCTAATTTTAATATTTCTGATAATGATATTGGTTGAATACTTTCTTTTAATGAATTTAATGGTGTAAGTAATTCTTCTGTTGATGGTTTAAAGAATAATGTTGAATGAGAATAATAATGAGCTGTTTGTTTACTACCACTTTTTAATATAAGAAGATTAAATTCGTTTAATACATCTGCTTGTTCTTCTCCTTCAAGATAAGATACCCATAAACTCATTTTGTATTTATTTTCTTGTTGCATTAAACTAATTCCTTGCTATAACTGTGAGTATTATAAGTCTTTTTATTAATTTTAATTAACAAACAATTAAAAATGAATGTTTCATTGTTTTGCAAATGACACCATCAATAACTAATTGAAACAATCCGTCTTTATATTCTTTTTCAATCTCAACAGTAAATTTTCCTCCTTCTACATTTTCTTCATTAAATTCATGAATTACACCATTAACAAATATTTGAATTTGATGGTTAATATAACAATGTTTAGTATTTGAAATTATATTCCATAATTGGCAAAATTGTCTTAATGTTTTAAATTTACCAATTAACTTACCAAACGGACAATATTCAGAAGTGTTAGATTTAATGTTTGTGTTATGATAAAAACACCATTCTTTTGAAAAGTATTTCCATATTGTTTTTTGATTAGATAAACTTACTACAGTATCACGAATATTTCCTTTAATATAAACAATATGTTCTTTCAACTTTTTATTAATTTCCATGTATGAGTAGATATTTAATTTTGAGTTCAGATCAATAAACAAAAATAGTTCATGTTATTTTACCCATTAACTATTCCATATACATACTATTGATTTCTGTATTTTACACTTTTTATTCTTTATTTTTAATAAAAAAAAGATTGATGTAAGTTCGCATAATTCTTTTGACTTGAAATAAACAATAAAAATCAAATAATATAACAAAAAATAAGAAATAATAGATATATCCATAATTGGATTTTATGAATATTGAGAAGTGATTGTTTCAGTGTTTCAATACACCCTATTTCTACAATAGAGTTCACTTCTAACATATGAGAATTAGAAGGTTCCTCTTCTAATGTGTTGCCAGTGTTGAATGTGTAGAACATTAAATATTTCATGTTTTTAATAATGATTGTTCGTAGTATTTTGGGGAAGTCAATTTGTAATTTTAGTGTTTTTAATCTTCTTACTGTTTCTTTATGTATTAATTTATTGTTAATAATACAGGTATTATTTCTACTTAAATTATTTTTCTATTTTGTCTTAACTTCTCTTGTAATTATTTGTATTTATTTATTTTGTAAATATAATTTAATTCTATATTTCTATCTTGACATATATCAACTTCATTAATATATCATTTTTTTTCATTGATGATTTGATAATATATATCTTGTCTTCTATCATTAAACGAATGGTCACTAACCAATAAATCTTTATTGTAAGTTATAACCATTTCATTATTATTAATACACTTAGGAGGGGCATTAAAATCTATTTCATCAAATTCATTAAAATATGTAATTAATATATGTTTATATATTTGTTTACATACATAATCGTGTTTTGATATTTGATTCTTCTTCATTACATCCTAACAAAATGTGGCTAATAGATGCGATTGTGTTAGGACAATGTTTACAATATTTTAAAGCATCACAATTGAGTATTTTAGATTTAATAATTCCTGTCATAGTTACTCCTTCTTGTATCTTTACTACTTGGAGGAAAGCATTTCTTTTTATATTTAATGACCTCCATGTGGATACTGTTAATTTCATAATATTAAATATACAATTTACATTTCTTATATATTCACTACATTTCTTTTCATTCCAATCATTTAAATATCTTTCATTTATTTTATTTGTTACAAATTCAAATACTTTGCTTACATCATGTTTTCTTTCGTTTAACTGTATTATATTCATTAATTCATTGAAATTAATTTTCTTACCAAATGCTCTCTTCATTCTTTTAATTATTCCATTTGGATCTCTTTTACTGCCTCTATCATTTCTCCTATTTCTGTATTTGATATTTATATTTTAAATATATTCTTATTAATTCCTTACCACATTCATCTTGTGCTGACATTAATCCCATTCCTAATTCATTTATTGTGACATATAATCTACTTTTATTGATGTTTCACTATATAGTTTGAGTTGTATCAATGCCTTTCTTATTTGTTTATCTATATTCTCAAACTTACCAAGTTTCCATTTGATAATACAGAATCAATATCTTAATTTTGAGATTATATCATTATTAATCTTTCTAATTGTATTGATGTTACTATATTTCATAATATTTAATGATGATAGAATAGAAGATACATCATTTAATAATCATGTACAATATTTATTAATATTTATTTTATCTCCTATTTCAATACCAAGATATTTATAAGGGTTATCATTAATTACTCTTAGTAATTCAGCTAATTCTCCAATTATTTAACTATTGATATTAGTCATTATCCCACTCTTTTCTATATTTATTTTTAATCATATTACATTAAATATTTCTTTTGTTAATTTGTGGGATTTTTCCATTTCTTCGAGGCTGTTAGTTATTATATTTAAATCGTCCATATATAATATGTGGTTTAACTGGACTTGTTTTTCTTCTCCATTCATTTTAATAAATAACTTATTAATTTGTTTATCTAATTATTTAGATAATATAACAATAGATAATATAAATAATAATGGAGATAAACTATCACCTTGTATTATTCCTCTTTCTACATTAATTATACCTACATTTTGTTGATTATAATATAATTGGAGTTGTGTAATATTTAATATATATAATATACTTTTAATTACAACTAATGGGTTGTTAAAATAAATTAAACAATGTTTAACCCATTGATGATTAATGCTATCATATGCATTAGAAATATCATAATATGTTTCTACCCACTTCCATTTAGCCTTGATTAACAACTGTTGGATTATAATATTGTATAATAATCCTTCTTTTGATAATATGTATATTTTTTATATCAAATTTGATTTTGTGATAATTGTTTTTCAATTTGATTTAACATCAATTGTTTTTCTATCTTCATCTTTAATAAAGATGTATATACTTTTAACATACAATTTAAACAAATTATTTGTCTGTAATTTTGTTTATATAATTTATCTCATTTCTTATATTAATATTGTCCTTCATTTGATAAATTGAAGATAGATATCATTATGATTATACAACCATTCATTAAATAATTTTAATAAGAAATTCTTTGGTTATTCTAAATATTTAATCCAGAAGCATTGTATTTTATCAATTCCAGGTGCTTTCCAATTAGCAATGAATTTTATTGCATGATTTAATTCATCTAGAGTGATTACGCACATTCTATTATTAATTCTATTTTCAATTAATATTTCATATAAATTATTATTTATGAAATTTATATTAGTGTTATTTTCATAGATTCATTTCCAGAAATTAATTGTAGTAATATTATCTGGATATTCATCTTCTTTATGTTTATTTAGAAGTTGTCTCTTTCCATATTTTAACATTTTATAATTCCATCTAATTCTTTTCCAATTATTCTTTCTTCTATTTCTATTCTTTTCATTCTTTGGAGGTATTTGTAATAGTTTATTTGCTCCTTTGTTTTTATTTTAATATGATATATATCATATTTTTTAATATGTAATATTATTTTTAATTTCATATATTGATTATTATGGAGCAAGTCTCTTAATCTACATATTTTTGATTGTAATATTCTTTCTATATTTCTCCTTCCACTTCTTTCTTGATTGTTATTAATAATGATGTTAATAGTGGAAGTTATAGTTTTAATATAATGGTAGTAATCATCTAATGTATTGATTACTATTTCATTTGTATTAATGATATTAATTATTTGATGTACTTTGTTTTTATTGTAATAATAATTAATAAATTGTACATCTTCTTGTTATTTCATATCTTCTTCTTTATTTATTCTTATTATTTCTTGTATTTCTTCTTTCTTATTTATTTTATTAATTCTTTTAATTCAATATCTTTCCATTGGTGTGTTATTAATTCTTCTTCCTTTCTTCTATTGATTTCAATTTTATTTTCATTCTTTATTTTAAATATTTTCTTTATTATTTCTTTATATTCATTAATATCTTCTATTTTAATATCAAATTCATGTATTAATCTTTTTATTTCTTCTTCTTTAATTTAACATCTTAATTTTATTTCTAATAACTTCAATGCAAAACATTTATAGAATGTTAGAATTTATTCTCTATTTGTTTGCTTCAATTGTTTTTTTTTGAATGTCATGATCAGATGTGGTGATCTTCTTATGCTGATTTCCCATCTCTTCGATTGAATTCTGCCTTAACTTTCTTTTTTTTGGAAGATCATCTTCGCTTGATGATATTTCATCAGCTACTACAACATTGGGGGTGATGTTATTCACAATTTATGTTTCAGATGAGTCAGATATAGTGTGATTTATCTCATCTTTCTTCTTTTCTTCTTGTGTAATTTTATTTTGTAATTTAAATAATTTATCTTTCAAGAAGTATACCTATTGTGATAAATTGTTTACCTCAGACCTTTTCATTTCTGATTCAGCATTTAATTTGAATAATTTTCTATCAATTTCTTGTTTTTTAGTGTTTATCTCATTCTCATGCTTCTTCTTTAATGACATAATGTCATTTGATAATTTATTAATGGTCTGGTCATTCTTTTGTATTTCTTCATTTCTTCTTTCTCTTTAATAACCTCCTCTATTCTTTAATTCTTCTATTCTTTTATCTTTTTCATTCTTCTTTTCTTCCTCTTCTTTTAATTTCATCTTTTCTTTTTCATTAAACCTCTTCTTATCTTCAGTAAATTTATTTTCATCATCATTTTCAATATTGTATATTTCTTATTTAAGTATTTATCATTTATTTCATTTTGATTTAGTTTATCATCTTCTTCAAGTGTCATACTGATCGTTTCTTCTTCCATTCTAATCATTTTTGTTTTTTCTCTTACAAGTAAATACCATCTTCTCATTATTGTTGATTATATTCTTTAATCTTAGTGTTCTTAATTTATTCTATTTCTTGTGGTGTATGTATTTTGGTTTCTTCTTCAAATAGTCTTTTCCAATATTCTTGGTTTTGTATTTCTATCATTTCTTTTCTTTTATTTCTTATTTGTCGTTGTCTTTTATTATGGTATTGTTTATATCTATGTTGTGTTTTATTATGTGATTTATTTGTATTATAATATTGATTGTTTGTATTTGAATTATTGGTAAAATACTTATGATGATAAAAAAGAATAAAGTGATGAGTGAAACGATTCATACTATTATTATTATAACTGTTATGATAATTGTTATGGTGATAGATATTATTATGGTAATGATTGTTGTGATGATTAATGTATTTCTGTCCATCAGATAATACGTGTTTTCACTCATTCTTCTATCATTTATATTTCTTGGTTGGTATGGATTTCTCCTTCTTTTGTTATTGATTTTATTATATTTTGTGGTTTCTCCTGTAATGCTTCGGCATCTGAATACAAACCAAATAATATAACATTTTAAATTAACAATTTTTTTTTCTATATAAAAAAAATATAGTTCTGATATTCATTCAACCCTACTGATATGGCTTTACAACTTCTACCTCCACTTATCGCTGCTGGTGGAAAAGTTCTTTGTGCAGTAGTTGCTGGTAGGGTTGGAACAAAAGCACTTGAATCATTTACCAGTAACAAGAATGCAGACGCATCAAAATCAGTAGAGGAGTTGAAACAAATCGTTATAGAATCAGAAAATAAAATACAAAAAGAAAAAGATGATAAAGTTAAACTTGTTGAGTTTTATAAAAAACAACAACAAGAATTTGAAGAACAAATGAACACCCGTTTAATAGAAAGAGATAATCAAATTATTTCATTACAAAATCAAATTAATCAACTTAAAGATAAATCATCAAGAAAACCATCAAATTGGGAAGTTTATTTTAAATGGGGACTAATTGTTGTCAATGTAATAATATTAGTTGTTGGTGTATTATTACTTTTAACTTAATAAAAAAATAATAAAATAACATTAAATTTATTTCTCTTTTATGACATTAAACTCTTTTAATTCTTTTTGTACTTTTTTTAATTCATCTAAAAAGTAATATATCTCAGTCATCTTTGACTGGAGTTGTTGTTGAGTTATTGGTAATTGATTTTCATCATCATCAATATCTTCATATATTACTTTTTGTAATTCAACAAATTTCTTTTCTGCAGCTTCTAATTTTGAGAGAAATTCATTTGATTTTGTTAAAATTTCTTCTTTATTTCCAAATGGATGAACTGATAATAATCGAAGCATTTCTTGAAATGCAGTCATTGATTTACTTAATTCCTGATCTTATGAGACTTCTTTTAGTTATATTGAAATTTGATTAAAATAATTTCAAACTTCTTCTGTTTCACTTTTGAGTTGTTCTTCTCGTGATACTTCCATGAAATGAATTAAAAGTATTAAGTGTTTAATGAACTATAACAAATAGTAAATTATAGTATTATTATTGAAATTGAATATATTTTGGTCTATCTTTTTTCACCAATGAATAGATACTTGAAATTAATGTTGCTGTTACAACTATCCCACAAATGACATGTGTGATAAAAATTGTCATATTACATGTTTGTACTAATTCTTCAAATTTTGTTTTGCATAATACATCAAAACACATTGGATTTTTACATGCACAATTAGATGGTGAAATAGAATCATAACCACAACACCTAAACTACATAACATTAATCATTTTATTAAATCATGTAATTGTATTAAACAAACTGAAGCTTCTATTAACTGACTAATTGGTATATCTTCTGTATCTGTTAATGTCGTTATATTCCAATAATTTAATATTGTTTGTTGTGTTTTAATAAGAGTATATGACGAATATCCAATAGCTGTTATTGCCATTATTACAACAAAAATTTGAACACAAATATTAATTATTGTAATAATCCTCTTTTTAAAATGAATCATCCCAGTTGATGCAATTCCACCAACTAACATAAACACTGACAAAGCAATAGATATATCATTTAGTGTTTTAAATATTTTAAATTCATCTCTGTCATAAATTAACGAAGTTTTACTATAATATAACATACAGTTGTTGATGTTAATTGCTGACAATAATACTTCTATGGCAGGAATTAATTTCCAGAGACTCAACATATTACAATCATCTTTTAAGATTTAAGAAGAAGATCAAATATAATGGGATATAAAACAAATTGAAAAATTTCTAGTAAAATCCATGAAAATACGAAACCCTAGAATAGGGTAAATGAAAGAAATAGAAATAAAAACTATAAAAATAGAAAGAATGAAAAGAGAAATTGAAGGAAAAGTGAAAAAAGAATCAACTAAAAATACAGATCTTGAATCTACATAATGAAAACTGAAGAAATTCTAAGAAAACAAGATCTTTTAACACTTCAAATCATTGGAGAGTTAGCTAATATCGAAGAAGTTGGAAGTATAAAAAAAGAAGATATAATCAAAAGTATAGTTTGTTAAATCTTCATAAAAAAGGAAAATGAGTTTAAAATAGAATCTATTCATAATAACAAAAAATAAAAATAATAAAGAAGATATTGTTAAAAAAGAAGAAATGGAAAAATAATAATGTAGATTGATTATTGTAGTATAACTGGAACAATTATTGTTCTTGATGATCTCACAGTAAATTCACTTCAAGAAATATTTAATTGTATTAAAGATAAAAATGAGAATATTGTAAAAACAAGAGTTGGTTTAAATAAACATATTACTAATTTTATTAAAAAGAATGGTGCAGAAAAGTTTTTTAAAAAAGTTCCAGAGTATATTAAGAAAGATATGTTTGCATTAGTTTCTAATGCTAATACTAGTACAGTTAAAGCATTAATGAATGAAGCTATTTTAACAGGATTTGCTAATTTATTAAATAGAACAAATACTCAAATTTTAAAAGATATGGTAAAGAAATTATCAAATGAAAATACATTAACTAAAAAAAGAGAGTTAATTAACTTTTTACTTGAAGAAGAAGAAGATTAGTAATAATTGAAATATTACAAATTTATTTGATTGATATTAGTATTTCAATTTTCTATGTTTTTTTTTTATATTCATTTAATTCTTTTTTTTTTTTAAGAAAAAAAATTTAAATGAAATTAAAAAAAAAAACAGTTAATAATGATGAAATTATCAACATTACATTCTTCATTTGATGAATCTACTCATTGTAAATATGGATTAATTGATATCTTAAAATTACAACAGTTCCAAAAACAAATTGATTGGAATTTACAATGGGCTTGCCATATTGAAATTGGAAAATATATTCGAAAACTATGTAGTTTAACTCGTAGAAATATGATAAAAACTGCAATTAGAATTCATTCAAGTTCAATTATTTATTATCGTAGATTTTATGCACAAAGATTAATCACTGAAATTGATCCAAGACTAATAGCAGCAACTTGTGTATTTTTTTCATCGAAAGTTGAAGGATGTTTAATATCACCACATAGTATTATTGAATATTCAAAACAAATTATTGAATTTCCATTTAAAATTCAACAATTAACTGATACAGAAAGAATTTTAATTGAGGCATTAAAAAAAACACTTATTGTATGGCATCCAGAAAAAGATTATGAAGATATTTGTAATTCATCTCAATTACCTGAATTTGTTTGTGAAACTGTACAATCTATATTAAATGATGCATATCTTACTAATGCTATTATCACTTATCAACCAACTGAAATAACATTAGGTTGTGTTGTAGTTGCTGGAATTTTACAAAATTGTGATATTAGAACATTATTATGTTCAATTTCAATTAATCTTCATCACGTTGAAGCAGTTGCTAATGAAATTTTAAATTATTATTCTTTTATTAATTCAGAAGAATATTTATCATATCAACAAAAAGCAAAAGAAATAATTCATGTTCTTTGATTCTTCTTTTGGTTTATTTTTTTAATATTTGTATGACCAACAATTATCAGCAATCAATTTAACAAAAATTAATAATAAAAAAACAAAAAAAGGACAGAAAAAAAGAAAGAACTTAATTCTTGTATTTCAGACAATGTTCAAAAGTGGTAAAACTATTAGACATATTAAAAAACCCCAAACCCAAAAACAAATTATGTTAGAAGAACATGTACAAAAAACACTTGGAATTGGACAAATAGAACAAGCAGTTCTTCTTCCACCTGGAGAAGATTTGAACGAATGGCTTGCTGTCCATTGTCTTGACTTTTTTAAAGAGTCACAGTTATTATATGATTCAATTGCTGAAAGTTGTACAAAAGAATCATGTCCAGTAATGACTGCTGGTCCACAATTTGAATATCGATGGAAAGAAGGAAAAGAGTTGTTTTCATTACCAGCAAATGAATATATTAATAAATGTCTTGATTATGTTCAACAACAACTTGATGATGAGGCTGTATTTCCATGTACTGTTGGTGTTCCTTTCCCAAAGAAATTCCAAAAAGTAGTTCAAATGATATTCAAACGATTATTCAGAGTATATGCACATATTTATCTTCATCACTTAAATCAAATTACTCAATTAGAAGAAGAACCTCATTTAAATTCATCTTTTAAAGTTTGTTCTTTCAATTTGTTATTCATTGTAATTAATTTTAATATTAACTCTTTCATTAGCACTTTATTTTATTTGCTACTGAATTCAATTTATTAGATAAGAAAGAAGTTACCCCAATGATGTGTGTTATTCATTTACTTGTTCCATCCGTTGAATCAAAATACAAATAAACAACGCCTTTCTTTACTATTTTTTATTTAATTTTTATTTGAAAAGAATAAATATTTCTTGTTTGATCATATTTTCTGAATACAAAATGGTCCATGGACCTTGTAACTAAAATGAATAAAAACTTCAATACAATAAAATGCAAAGTGAAAATAAAAAGGTAGAAATTAAAATCTAAAAAATGTAAATGAGCCTTTCTGTTGGATTACAAATTGCTGGTGTTGATGATTACATTCAACAAAATCTTGTTTGTGTAATGCCTGTAAAAGAGACATCACCACAAGAACATAAAGGTGTTGCAAAAATATCACTTGGTGGTCCTGAAGAAGGAAGTGAGTTACCTAAATTAACGAAAGTTACAGTTCGATTAGAAGATTGTTTGGCATGTAGTGGATGTATTACTTCTGCAGAAACAGTATTAATTGAACAACAAGGATTACCTGAATTTAGAAAGAATATTAAAGAAATATCTCAAAAGAAAAAAGTTATATGTACAATTGCAGATGAATGTATTGCATCAATGAGTGTTGTACATAATCAACCATTTAATGTTGTATGGACAAGAGTAGAAAAAGCATTAAGAAAAGAAGGTGTTGATGAATTAAGAGATTTATCTCAAGCGTTTGTTGTTTATAATGAATAGATATTAAAAAATAAAGAAAATATATTTATTAGTAGACAAGACATATCGTTATTTGGTATTTATGATGAATTTAAAGAATATCAAAAAATGAATAAAGTTTTATTAACAAGTACTTGTCCTGGATGGGTTTGTTATTCTGAAAAAATGCAAGGGAAATGGATGTTTGAGTATATGTCTAAAGTTGCGTCTTCAATGACGATAGCTGGTATGATGATGAAAAAACAAAATTCAGAAATATATCATGTAAGTATTCAAATGTGTTTTGATAAAAAATTAGAAGCAACAAAAACTTATAATAATATTCATGTTATTGATTGTGTATTAACAACAAGTGAAATAGATTCAATTGTTGATTGGAATGAACCAATTAATGAAGTTACTTCAACAAGAATAAAAGGTTTTATTTCTTCACCAGCACAATATATTGCTTTAATGGAACAAAAAAAAGGACCATTTAAAATAACAAGAAATAAAGATTTCCTTGAAAATGATGGTATTGCTATTGCCAATGGATTTAGAAATATTCAAAATGTTGTTCGATTTGTTAAATCAAAAACTAAATTACAATTTATTGAAGTAGAAGCATGTCCTGGTGGTTGTATTTGTGGAGGTGGACAAATAAAATGTTCTCCTAAAGAAAAAGATGAACGAGTAAAAAAGATGATGGAAATTCTTGAACCAAAAATTGTTGATGAAAAGAACAAAGGTATTTATGAATCAATAAAAGATACTATCAAACTTACATTTATTGACAGAAAAGAAAATGCTCAAGAAAATGCTTTACATTTGAATTGGTAATTCTTAGTATAATTTTTATTTATTAGTTTTTTTTTACTTTTAAAATAAAAAAGTTAATGAACTATTTATTAACTGAAAAGTCATTTATTCAATCAATAAGTAGGAAAAATAACAAAATGAATTTTTTTCTATTTAAAAAAATAAACAACCAACAACAGTGTGTTCCTTTGCCTCAAGCAACTTCAGTACCTTTCTTTACAAACCAAAATGGCCTACACCCTTTTAAAAAAATTATTCAGCCCCAAACTCAAAGAATAAATACCCAAAATAAAAAAGCTTGTTCCATATGTGGGTTACAAAACTCATCTCTCCACTCTCTAGAATGTGGACATATTATGTGCTCAGACTGTTTAAAAATTTGGAAAGAAGAAATGGGATGTAATTATTGTGCTGAATGTGGTGTCGAGATATAAAAATTATTTATGATTTAATTATTAATTGTTATATAAAACAATTATTTATGATTAGATTGAATCTTAAAAAATAACAAAATATTAAAACTAAAAAAATAAAAGAAAAAAGACATGATACTATTTATTCTCCTTTTCTCATTATGCCTTAGTCTTGACTCTTCAAAATATTTTAAAACATCTATTGAGACAAGAGTAGTATGTACTCGAGGTGAAGGCGTTTCAACGTTTTTAGAAGAAGAAGTAAAAAATTAGTTTGTTAAAATAAATTAATAAATAAGTCTAAATTTAATAATTAGTCCAATGGTAATTTTCATGATAAATCAAAAAACAAAAGATGTTATGAAATTTTATAATATTGCTGGTGATATCATTGAAGAGTTAGATATTTCAAATTATTCATTTAAACAAATTGTTGATGCTCTTGATGAAAGAGGATTTAGACAATTTTATAAAGAAAAATAATTTTATTTAAAAAAAATTAATATTTTTGTTTTTTTAATAAAAGGAAGAATAAAAAATATTTAAAAATTAATTACTTACTAAAAAAGAAGAAAATACAATAATTTAATTAAAATAGGATAATATATAATAATAATATTATTCTTATTTTTAAAAAATAAGAATAAAAAAATAAAAGAAATAAAATAAAAATATTGTATTATTTTTTAGATTTTTTTGACTTTGTAACATTCTTTTTAACGATTTTATTTGGTTTAGATACTTTCTTTGAAATTGCTTTTACTGTTCTTTTTTGTGTTGCTTTTGTTATTCTTTTTGTTGTTTTTCTTTTTGGGGCTGATTTAGCAATTTTATTTAATTTACCTGATTTTGTTTTCTTTGTTAATGCTTTGGTTTTTTTAGTTAATGCTTTTGTTTTCTTTGTTAATGCCTTAGCTTTCTTTTTTGATTTCCTTTGAGCAGCCATTTCCTTTGCTTTACCAGCTAACATTTTACCTCCTGCAACACCAGCTTTTTCTACTTTTGAATATCCATTTTTCAAGTTATCTTTAATCTTTCCTTTTATACTATTTTCAACCTTACTCTTAATTACCTTATTTACTTCTTTTGCAACATTATTCTTTACATCATTAGAAGTTGCTTTTTTAGTAAAGCTCTTGACAGCAGAACGTGCTCCTTTTGCCAATTGAGAAACACTCTTTCCTTTTAAGCTTTTAACACCCTTTTTAATATCTTTAAATGATAATGTCTTAGCACCATTTGAAATTTTCTCTAAATTCTTTTTATAACTATCTTTTGCTTTAAATACATCCTTAGCATCACTAACAGTTTTCATTACATTCTTTTTAATATTAAAACTATCTTTTGCTTTAGATATAAATCCTTCTTTAATTTTCTTTCCTGATAAATCTACTTTCTCTCCTGAACTAACTTTAGATAATGTTCCTACAACACCATCCGCAACAATACCAACAGCTTTATTAACAGCCCAACCCTTAACATTATTTGCAAGTGTTTTACCTCCTTGCTTTATTCCTTCTTTGAGACCACCTTTTTGATACCCTTTTGAAAAGTCGGTGGCTGTATCCACAGTTTTCTGTGCAACAGAAGATACAGTTTTAACAACTTTAGCTCCTCCTTCTATAGTCTTTGCCGCAGCTGCAACTGGTGCAGCAATAGCATTTACTCCTGGAATTGCACTAGCAACTGTAGCAACAGTTCCTACAGTCTTAGCAACCTTTTCAACCATTCCAGCTGCTTTATTAACCTTTCCAATAGCTTGAGAAACCTTTTCTCCATTTTCAGCAAACCAATTAGTTGTCTTCTCTACAGTGTTTTTAAATCCTCTTTTAATACTGTCTAAAAATTCTTCATCATTTAACATAAGATCTAATGAATCCTCATTATCTAAGAAAGATAATAAGGTTTCTAAATCATTATCAGCTTCATTGAACATTGAATAATCTTCTACAAAGAAAGAATCAAAGTCCATATTCAAGTCATAAGCAGATGAGCAACAGATGAAGAGTAGTAAAGTAAATAACATAATATACAATGAATAATTTAGTTCATGCCGACAATAAATAATCTCAATTTCCACATCTAATCAGTTATTGAATTTTATTTTTATCAAATTCTTATTAGAAACTTCTTCGGTTATACTCCTTTCCTCTCTCTTTACCATTTTAATAGAATTTAAATTATTATTCGTTTACGTGTAACTAAAATATTAATTTTGTCTAGGTTTTTTCTCTAAATACCTAATGTTTCTAAAATAAGAAAGATTGATCTATAAATTCTTCAGCGAATTAAAAAGAAGATCTTATCTCTGACTCTAAAGGACATTCCGAAAGGGTTTTTATTAATTTTATTTTCTCTAGAAAGAAAGAACTTTCTATCAGAAAAAATTGTATTTTTATCTTATCTTATTGTTGTTGATGAAAAAATAAGGAAATTTTTACATAAAAAATTCAATGAAAGGAAAACCTTGTTGTATTTCCATATAACTTCTTTGTCATTCTCTCTCTTTTTGATATTGAAAATCCTTGGGGACATTGTGATGACAAACTTGCTGCATAAAATGCTGGTTCAAACTTTTGTGTTGGTAATTCATCATTTATAAATTCTTGTTGAGATGGTGTTACTTCATCTAATTTAAATTCATTCTCATCATCAGAAACATTATCAATACACCCAGCTTGAGATGCAACAAAAATTGAATGAGAAGACTCTCCATAATACTCATCATTATTATGATACATGTCTTTGTCTAGCTTAATAATTTCTTCTTCTTCTTTAGATATTGATTTTATTCTTTTTGGTAAAAATGCTGGGAGACTCCATTCAATGTCTGAGCTATCTTCCTTTGATTGAGACTCAACAAGGTCGATAACAACAGGTTCTTCTTTATTCTGTTGAATAGTTTTTTTATTATGTTTTTGTTCTTCAACACCATTTTGTTTTTCTTTGATAGAAAGAAGAGGTGGGATAGTATGAGAATGTTCTTTTGTTGTACTCAAAATTGGTTGATCGATTTGTTCTTTCATACTTTCTTGACTATCATTAGCCTCAATCTGATCTAAGAATTGAATCAATGAATCACTCAATTCATTATTTTCTTCTGTTACTTTTTCTTCATTTTTTATTGATTTTTCTTTTTTTCTTTTTTGTTCATTATCAAATCTTGTGTGATGAAAAGACAATATTGTTCCATTACTTTTTATTGACTTATTGACTAGTTTGATTGGCTTTGTCTCAATAACTTTCTTATTTTCTTTATTTGGAGAATTACGTTCACTTGACAAAGACCTTCTTCTCCATATACCATGTTCATCTTTTCTTAATCCCCTTCTTTTAGGTTGTTGTTTGATTTCTTGAATGAACTCATTCATGTTTTCTTCATCTATCATAGGAACGAGGTGTCTGCGTTTCATCTGAAACGTTCTTTCCTCAATTTTTCCTTTTTCTTACTGTCTTTTCATTTTTTTTCTTTTTATTTTATAATAAAAAAAATTAAAAAATAAAAGATTATTAATGATAGAATTATTTTCTTAACACACTATGGGCTCTACAGAAGGGTCATGGCTGTAATATATGATAGTCCCATCACAAGGGATAATGTCTCTTAATTTCTTTGATATTTCATTTAAGTGTTCTTTTCCTGATTTATCAAGCCATAATGCAATTTTATTGTGTTGACGAACAGAAAATGCAGCACCATTAATACAATAAGCAGAAGGAATAGTCTCACCGATTAAACTTAATATCTATTATTCTGTAAGAATTCTAAATTAGCTTGTGAATAAAAATTCAATAACAAACAGTATCTCTCCAGTATTGTTGACATAATTCATTATTAGTGTTAGTTAAAATTGTTTGTATCCTTCCACCCCCAACATTACTGGTGTCTTCCCATATTGGTTTAATTCCATTTTTGAATAATGAAACATCTGATCCATTTTCCATTGTTCCTAATTTAGGAATAGCGTCATATATTCCCCAAAATTCTTCAGCAGTTTTGAAGCTTCCAATAGAGACAATGTTTGATCCATATGTTTCAGTTGATTTATTTGAAAATCCATCAAACCAAAAAGTCCATTCACTGAATAATTTATGTTCCATCTCTATTTTTAATATTAAGTTCATATTTTTTTCTTTCAAAAACATTTTTTTTTCTTTTTTTGTTATAAAATTTTGTCATTTTTTTACTTACAAGAACTTAGAAATAGAAAAGAAATTGTGATATTTTTATGACACTTATCATTATTTTGAATATTTTTGTATTTAATTCAATTGCCCTGACGTGCGAAGAGTCGTATTATGAAAAAAATGGAAGTTGTCTTAAATGCCCTTTATACTGTTATGAAGGTTCTTGTTTAGATGAAGTAGGTTGTACAAAGTGTAAAGAAGGAAACTTTCTTTCAGATGATGGTAAATGTTATGCATGTCAAACTGGATGTTTGTCTTGTACTGATTCAACTCATTGCCAACAGTGTAGTGATGGATTTGATAAACGAGGGGATAAGTGTTGTATGGCTAGTTTGTTGATTCTTTAATATCTACAATACAAAATGTTTAACTAAGAGAATAGGGTGTGATGTTCATTGTAAATGTAACTCATGTAATGAAAATGGATGTATGTCATGTGTTAATGGGTTTTATGTGAATAATAGTCAGTGTCTTTCATGTCCTTTACATTGTGATTTATGCACATTTAGTCAATGTCTTGTTTGTGAAAATGGATATTCATATGATTCAATTACAAAATCATGTATTCAAAATCAGACTAATAATTTTACAATGAGATTAATCTTCACTATTCTTTGTGCAACTGTATGTCTATTATTTATTATTGCAATAACTTCTATCTTTCTTATTTTAAAAAGAGAACGTGAAGAGAGAATAAAAAAAGTTGTTAAAACTCTTCTTTAGTAATTTCATAGTTTTGTTCTTGTTTATTTTAAACTACCTTAAATTCTACTTTTTTAAAAGGTTTCATTCTTAAAAGCTTGATGATAGAAAGAAGATAGATGACAATTAATTGTTAAATATGTTTAGAAGATACAACAATGACAGATGTCTTAAAAAAATTTTGAACGGTTTAATAATTACATTGGAATATTCTTTTGTTGGTTGAGATTTGATTGGCTAGATTAATGGCTTTTCCATTGATCTTTTCAATTCTCAGTTTGAAAGGTCAATTTCTTAATTATTTAAGGAAGAAATTTATCAAAAAAAATTGTATCAAACTATGAAGGCATTTTCAAGACAGAGTATTAATCCTTGTATCATTGCAACCCAATACGCTGTTAGAGGAAAATTAGTGTTAGAGGCAAATGGTATTCAAAAAGAAATTGAAGAAGCAAAGAAAAAAGGAAAAACTAATCCTTATCCATTTGACAAAGTAGTATATTGTAATATAGGTAATCCACAAATATGTAATCAACAACCATTAACATATCCAAGGCAGATTATCTCAATAGTTGAGTATCCTGAGCTTTTAAATCATACATCCTTTTTTCCTAAAGATGTTATTAACCATGCTAAAAAAATTATTAATAGCCTTGGTTGTACTGGAACAAGTGGTGCATACACAAACTCTATGGGAGTTGTTCAATTTAGAAAATCAATTTGTAAATTTATAAAACGTAGAGATGGAACTGCTCCATCTCCTGATGAAGTGTTTATAACTGATGGAGCATCTACTGGAATAAAAATGATTTTAAATATGTTAATTTCACACCCTCTTCATGGAATTATGATTCCAATTCCTCAATACCCATTATACAGTGCTGCAATATCTCAGTTTGGAGGTTTTCAAATTAATTACTATCTAGATGAATCAAAAAAATGGTCAACAGATATGACATCAGTAAGAAAAGTTTATGAACAAGCAGTTGAAAAAGGCATTCAAGTGAAGGGATTTGTTTGTATTAACCCAGGAAATCCAACTGGACAGGTTCTTACAGTCCAAAATATGAAAGAAATTATAGAGTTTTGTTATGAAAAAAAAATTTGTTTATTAGCTGATGAAGTGTATCAAGAGAATATCTATGGTGAAATACCATTTACTTCATTTAGAAAGGTATTAAAATCGATGAGGGATGAAGTGAAAAATACAGTAGAACTAGTTTCATTTTTTAGTGTTTCAAAAGGATTTTATGGAGAATGTGGAAAAAGAGGTGGGTATTTTCAGATAGAAAATATTAATTCATTTGCTCGTTCACAAATGTACAAAATGGCATCAATTAACTTATGTTCAAATGTTATTGGTCAAGAGATGGTTGAAATCATTTGCAATCCACCAAAAGAAGGCGATGAATCATATCCAAAGTATATAAATGAAAAAATGTCTATTTTAAATTCTTTGAAAAGAAAAGCCAAATTACTCCATTCTGTTCTAAATGAATGTGAAGGAATTACTTGTAATGAAGCTATGGGTGCTCTTTATCTTTTCCCAAAGATTAAATTTTCAAATAAATATATAGATGAATGTAAAAGAAAGGATCAACAACCAGATGAAGTGTATTGTTTAAGGATGTTAAAAAGTATAGGTGTATGTGTTGTTCCAGGATCTGGTTTCGGTCAAAAGGATAATACGTATCATTTTAGAATTGCTATTCTACCACCAGAAAATGAAATTCAGAATATTGCTAATAAAATAAAGATTTTTCATACATCTTTTATGAAGGAATATGATCATTAATCTATGACACTTGGACTCTATTATTCTTGTAACTTCATTAGTATTGTTTTAAAGTAAAACAAAACATTTAAAACATTTAGATTATTAGATACATTGTTTCTTATATTCTTTCTGCTTTAGTCCTTTAATTTACATTTTTATTTTAGTGCCATTTTACAAATAAAAATAACAATGATTGTTACAATGAATGGAAATGTCTAATAACTTTTTACAAAATAAAAAATAATTTCAATTAATAATCAGATTTATAATTTGATTTTGTGATTACTGAGAAGTGAATATTTTAGTGAGTCCAATATGTGTTATTTCTATATCAAGTTTAATTTTAGAAACTGAGAAATAGAATGTTTGTTTCCTATTGTAGTTCTGGAATTGTTTGAATAAAAGATTAAATATTTAATGTTTTTAATGATAAATGTTAGGAGTATTTTGACAATGTGAATTTGTGATTTTAGTATTTTCATTCTTTTTTAATGTTTCTTGGTATATTAATTCATTCTTACTATTATAGTGATTATTTCTATATTAATATTTCTATATTTTATATTAATTTTTTATATTTATTTGTGTTTATTATATACATATATTTAATTTAATATTTCTCTCTTGAAATATAGTAATATAGTAATATATTATTTTAAATTTATATTTTGATAATATATCTTATAGTATTGAAATAAATGATCATTAATTATGATTTTATTGTAAATTATGTTAATTTTATTATTATATTTATGTTGAATATTAAAATTATTTGATTTATTTGTTGAATTTTCTATTTAATATATGTTTAATATATTCATGTTTTATTATTTTGTTTTCATTTCATTAAAATAAAGTATGTTTATAATATAATAATATATATTAATAATTATAATATTTCAATATATCATTTTGAGGTATTTTAGATTTATTTATTATTACATTTTTATTTTCCGATGAATCCTTTGTTTTATATTTAATGAAATCTAATGTGGTTATTGTTAATTTCTATTATTAAATATTATATTGTTAATTTCTTATATTTATTCTTTTAAATATCATATTGTTTAATTCTTTTCTTATTTCTTATTATTTGTTGCTTTATCTATTATATTAATTATTTATTATATTAATTATTTTCTTATTTATTTGGTTTATTATTGTTGCTATTCATTTTTGTTCTTAGTTTATTCATTCTTTATTTCTTTATCATTTTTGATAATATATATTTCTTTTTTTATTCTTTTTCTTCTTGTAGTATATTTTTATTTCTTCAATTTATTTTTAAACAAATATTTCTCATTTCTTCGATTTTGAAATTGAAGTATTATAAATCATGAACTGCAATAAAAATCATATTATTAAATTATATTCATTATTTATTTCATTTTTTAATTAACTCTTATTTTCTTATTTTACAAGAAGAAAAAAAGAGAATAATTACTGAATTTAAATCTCAGACTAGAAAGTTAACTAAATATTCTGAAATATCCTTATCTTTTAATATCATCAATTAAATATATATCAATACTTTAATTTTAATTTCTTTTACTTTCATGAAATGTATTATATTTATATTTAATCATCAATCATTTTTTTATTATTCAACGGCAGTTAAACATACTATCTACATTAAAAAATAAGAATCAACTGAAGATTTTTCCTTTTTTACTTCCTTTTTAACATTTATCTATCTTTATCCTTTTTTAATTTTATTATCATAAATTTATTTCACACAAGTTTCTGTTTCTATCGTATTATTTCAAAGGATATCTGTATAATTATCTTCATTGTTAAATAAATCTCAGATAGTTTTAGTAGTGTTTGATGAAATCTATAATTAATCAATTCAATTTTCAATTACAATATTGTTTTTATGATAAAATCAAGTCATAATTGAAAAAAATTAAAAATATTGATACTTTTTAAATCAGTATATTGTTGATAATACTTGAAATAAAAAGAATAGAAAACTCTTCACAATAACTTGATATCTGAAACAAACACAATGATGGATAGTCAGTACAATAACTATAAAACGAAGGGTTTGATATATTAGCTTTTGAGTAAATTGATGTGTATATTCAGATATTTTTATTGACAAAATTATGAATATTTGTTAGTTATAATTTAGTGTAGTGATGAGATAAACAAATGAATTAAAAAAAAAGGTATTTAAAATTCTATATCCAAAACACAAATTATGAACGAAAAGAAAGAAATCTACAGTATGAAATAAATGACTCAAAAAATCAACTAAAAAGATTTAAGAGTGATTACATTTGTTAAAACTTAATTGTTTAAGTATCATTATCAGTTTATTCTAATTGATATGAAAAAAAAATCAAATTTATAAGTATTAATAAATAAAAATTTGTTTAATATTCATTTTCTGAATCAGCCCAAGGTGTCATGAGTTTATTTATTTTAAAGTATTCCAAATTCCATAATATTAATTAGATATTTTTTTAGAATTTTATACAAAGAAATGTTGGACAAATAAAAATGAATAATTTAAGTTAAAGTAATAAAATAATAACATCAGATTACTTGTATACAATCTCTTCTTTTTCTTAAATACTGATAACTTTTCATTTACAAATATCCAAATTCAGTAACTCATTTATTTTATAATAGTCAACAAGGTAATTGGAATTATATGAACAAAAATGAAAGAAAACCAATGTATTGCTTATTTAATCAATAAACCAAACTGTTATATAAAACAGAAGATGTAATTTAGTAAAGACAAAACAAATTTTTATGAATGAAGGAAAAATGAAAAGGAAAAAAGAAAGTAACTTAAAATGAAATAAAGTGTAAAATGACTGAGAAGTGTAATGTCCCATCAATTAATGCAATTAATAAATCAGTTCAAAGAAGATTACCACACTGTCAATATGTTGGAGTTTATAAAAGAAGAAAGTTTGAAGAGAAAAAGATAAGTATTATAACAAATAAATTAAAAGGAAGAGTTTTAACCATTGGAACAAAAGAAATTGAATTAGAGAGGAGTGTATTAACATTAGATTTAAATGAAGATCATATTGAAGAAGAAGATGCTTTATTATGTTTTCGGATTATATCAAATAAAAATTATATTTTAAAATTTGATAATTGTGAAGACTATGTATATTGGATGGAACAAATAGCTGAACTAGCTACAGTATGGGGAATGTATGGAATTCCTTTAAAAAGTGCTATAAAAAAGTCACAATGGAGAGTTCCACTTCCTATATTCAGAGCAATGCAATACTTAGAAGAACATAAAGGAGATGAATATGTTGGTATTTTTCGGATGAGTGGTAGTACAACAGAAATGAAGAAAATTAGAACACAAGTTGATGGAGAAAAAGATATTGATCCAATGGATTTTTGTGATTGTGTTTTAGCTGCATCAGTGATTAAAGATTATTTAAGACTATTACCAAATCCACTTATTCCATATAATTTATATGAAGAATTTATTGAATTAAGAAATAACCATCTTGGTCATCAATTTGTAATTGACTTACCACTAGAAAATCAAAATACATTATGGTATATTTTCTCATTTCTTCGTCGTGTTTTAGAACAACAAAATATTAATAAAATGAATATTGTTAGTATAGCAACATGTATTACTCTTAGTATTTCAAGAAAACCACCATCATCAAAAATAAGTGATATGGAACATTTAGATTATGCACATAAATCAGTAGAATATTTATTAGAGAATTTTGATGAAATATTTCAAGAAATTACAACATTGAATGAAATGGAAGGAATGGCACCACCATCATATCCAATATTTTTTGATGAATTATATAATAAATCTTCTAAAATAATTGGTCCAAAGAAAGAAGAAAAAAAGAATTTTAGGAAATCATTCAAATTACCATTTAGTAGAAATTCTCTTGGTATTAATTTAGATTTATGTCATAGTACTGATCTTTTTAAATGTAAAACAGATAGACCAACATATCATACTCAACAAGTATCTCCACGTTCTAAATTAGGAGAGGTAGTATCAACAAATATTTTATCTTTACAAAAATCACCAGTACCATTAGACTTTGTAAGTGAAAACTCTGAATTATCAAGTGTAACTGGAGAAGAAATAAAATTATTAGATAAAAGAGAAACAAAATCTATTGGAGATCATGTTTTAAAAAAGAAACCATTTACTTCTTCTAATAGTCCTTCATCATCTTCTTCTACAATACAAACTATACAAACACAAATATTGAGTGAAAAAAGACAAGAAAGTTTTAATGAGAGAGATGATCAAGATGATATTAAATCATTAAAGAAAATGATTGCTATAAAAGACAAACAAATTTTAGAACTTCAAATTCAAAATAAAATTCTTCAAGAAAAAATTTATCAACTAACATCAGGTTCAACTATGATGAGTGGTGAACGTTCTAATTAATACATTGTTTATTTTAAAAGAATTATACCTCCTTTTTTAAAAAAAAAATATTCTTTTAATTTATTAAAAAATATAAAATACATTTCTTTCTAATGAATTTGTTCTTCAAATTCATCAATAAAACAAAGTTAAAAACCCTTGTGAATTTATAATTCATAAATAAAAATAATTGAATGAATAAAACTCAATTTGAGAAATATTATATTTATGATATTTGTTATTATTGTGATTTAAAAAGTATTCATTTATTATCATTAATTAATAAGAAATATCATAAAACTATTACAAATTCATTATTTGCTTTTGATACAAATAATTATTCATTTAACCCAAATGCAAAATTATTTGAAGGTGATTTTATGAATTTATTTTCTTGTTCTTTAAATTCATGTGATTCTTTATCAATATCAATTGGAAATAATAATTCATTAATTAATCAATTTAACAATTCAGAAGATGAAGAAGAAGAAATAGAATTACTTCCTGATACACAAGAAATACCTCCAATAGATCCAGAATTTGATCAATTAATGCAAAATGCAATAAAACCAATTAAATCAAAAGTTCGTTCATTAAAAGTCTTTTTACCTACAAAATGTTTAACATCATTTAAATCATTCATTTCATTAGAAAAATTAACTCTTTCATATGACTTATTATTTACAACATTTCCAACATTAAATCAAGGAAAAGTACCTCAATATCTTCAAAAATTTCCATTAAAATATTTTTGTATTAGTGATGTACCACTTCCATTATGTAAAGAAATTAATCAAATCTTTTCATTAATAGATCATTATTGTAAAAAAGTTATTATTCCATCAAAAACATTATTTACTATTGAACTTCTTGAATTAATTAAAAAAACTCCAACTATCATTTTCTTTATTTATCAATTTATTCATCAAAACCTTATTGAATATCTTCCATCAAATATTATTATTCATCCATTAATTGTAGATCAAATGAGTCAAAAATATTGTGGTTATAAAATTAATTTTACATCATTTTCTAAAAAATATTTCCCATTTTCTATTTCATGTCAACATATTAAATCAATTTATTCAACAATGTATTTATATGCTAATGGTGAATTACCATCTTTTGTATCTTATAAAGATCTTCTTTCTTTAAATTTAAAAGAAGATAAAACAATTAATAGAATTAATTATGATTTTACACCCTTTAAAACTTTAACCTCATTAACATTAACTGCACAAGAACGTATTGAAAGAAAAGTTCAATTACCATCACAATTAAAAGAACTTTATATTGATTGTTTTATTCATTTAATTTCTCATCTCAATCAATTACCAAATGGATTAACAGCATTAACATTAAGACAAATAGATTCTTTATCAATACATTTACCACTAACAATTAAAAATCTTCAACTTCGATGGTTTAATAAATGTACATCAATTGATAATTTAAATCAATTAAATGAATTAACAGAATGTGATATTAAAGGAATGTCAGTTAAAGAACTTTGTTTTTCTTATTCTTTAATGAAATTATCTTTAATGTCATGTCATAAATTAGAATCAATTAATGATTATGACTTTATTTTTGATCTTAAACCAATTATACAAGATTGTCCAAAAATATTATTCAATTAAATTTATTTATAATTGATTTCTTATTCTATAAAAAGAATAGATTTTAATCCCATTCCCATAGGTTCTTTCATAAATGCATCTACTCCAATGTTAGGAGTATTTAAATAATGTGAATTAAATGACATATTTAATGAACAAATTTCTTCAAGTGTAATTGTATAAAAATATCCAATTTCAAGAATTGTTGATTTTAATTCATCATCATCTTCCATAAAATCAGCAATCATTAATGAATAATGATTATTTGAATCTGCTTCATATTTTCCTTGTATTTTATTTTTATTTCTTATTGCAAAAACAAAATGTTTTGGATCATTAACCCAATTTCCAAATTGTTGTGGAACAAGATGATGATAACTTCCAAATACTTCTCCATTTTCTGTTTCTAATAAAATAATAATATCTGTTTTATTCTTTAAAATAGATAAACAATTTTCTCTTGTAAATCTTTCTTTTTTATTATTAAAAAATACATGTAATTTTTGCTTTCCAGTCCATTGATGTAATAATGATAATTCTTCTTCATTTAAATTACCTATAAATTCATTAGATTCTTCAATTTCCATTGGAATAACTAAATTACCTTCTTGCATTGCTTGATATGCTGCAATAAGTTCATTAGAACATTTTATATCCTTTTTTGGTTCTATATCATTAGATAAATTATTCTCTTCTTTTTCTTCTTTAGTAATAATTTCATTAATAGAATGGATATCTTTTAAATTAGTTTTATTTGTTCTTTCCTCAAGTAAAATACGTTGTAATTCTTCATTAGAATTTTTCAATTCTTTTATTGTTGTATTAAGAACCTCTTTCTGTTTTCTTAGTTGATTAATTTGTGTATCCTTTTCTGAAGAATTAATAGATTGTTGTGCATCACTAACAGGAACAGGTTTTGAAGTACATTCATTAATTTTAGGTAATGAACAGAAATTAAGTGTTCCATAGTTTTCAATCTTGTTAATAGAAATGGTACAAGTCATTCACTTGGTTCTTGTAAAATCAGTTCTGGAATGAGATCGAATGGTTATAATCATCTTTTTGATATGTTTAATAGTAAAAGAAACTACAATAATAGTAAAATTGAATATAAGAACTAGATAATGAAAAAAACCTAGTAATGACTGATACACACCAATCATGGATTGATATGGCTACAGAAACTGATGTTGCTATCCAACAACCTATAGTTGAAAAGGTTGAAGAAACACAAAAGCCACAAGAAATGACATATTATAAAGAAAGATATGGAGAATCTGATTATGTATTAATGTTCTGGAACCCAAGTCAACCCCTTGAACAATGGATGATTAAAGACTTATTAGAAGGAATTGATGTCAAAGCTAGAGGAATTAGAGTAGGTAAAACTGGAAAGTGTTATGCTGATTTTGAAAATGCTGAAACACTTGAACGTGTAAAAGAACTTGATGGAAATTCAGTAGGAGATATTGTTATCACTGTTTCTGCTGTTCCACCAAGAGATGATTCACAAAAGAATTCATTTAATAAACCAAGAAGAGATGGTAGAGAACCAAAGGAAGATGGTAATGAACAAAGAAGAAGAGGTAGAGGAAATAGAGAAGGTGGATCATATAGAGAAAGAAAAGAAAACCAAGAAAGAAAGGAACGTGGTGATGGAGAAGAACGAAGTCATAGAGGACGTGGTGGGTATAGAAATAATTATAGAAATGGAGAAAAACGAGATTATAAACCAAAATATCATTATGGTAATGAACAACAAAAAGAATCCACAAAAGAAGAAGTAAAATCATTAGGAACTTCTTCTCAAGAAACACCAATTGATTCTAAACCAATTGAACATAAGACTGATATTAAAGAAATTCCAGCTCATAACAACACTGAAAAAAAAGAAGAAAGACAACAACTCCCACCAAGAGAAGGAAGAAGATATGGAGAAAGAAAAGAACATACACATGGTAGAAGAGAAGGAGGTGATCAAAGAAGAGGTGGAAGAGGAGGTAAAAAACAATTCCATGCATCTGAACCAATTGAATGGGATAATGTTAAGAAAGTTTCTCACCCTGTTGAACAACAACCTGTTGTTGTTAAACAAGAACCACAACCTAATATACAAGATGATGAAGGAGAGTGGCAAGAAGTTAAATCAAAAACACAAAAGAAGAAAGGAGGAAAATAAAACGTTTATTTGTTTTAATACGAAGAAATTTTTAAGGGTAATAATTAAATAATCAAAGAAGGAAAAAAAATTATTTAAAAAAAAAAGAAAATAATTGGTTTTATTTTTCATTTTAAAATTATTTGTAATTCTTGATTTTAAAGTTTATTAAATTAAAAAATTGTTTTTATTAAAAATCAATCATTTATATTTAAAGAATAATAAAAAACCTCCTCCCCTTTATCATTATTATAAAATATAACACAGCCTTATTTTAAAATTATTTATTTTGTATTAATTAATTCTTTGAGGAGATGTTTGAAAGACAATAGTTCTTATTACTGTAAATAACTGATTATGACCAACTATTTTTGAGGAATCATCTATAGAATAATGCTCTGGAATCCATTTGTATATTTGACTGTAAGGTGCTCCAAAGGGATCTGCTTGGATAACAATTCCCATATTAACATACAAATATTCTCCTTCTGATTTAAAGTAAAAGGCTTTTGTTCCATTTTTTGATTGTTTCTTAAGACGCCAAACTTCTGTTTTGTTAGTCTTTGGATCATACCTGAATATCCTATGTTCGGGGTCTTCAATCCAATTATCCTTTTTAACACATCTTTTTGATACATAACAACCAAAAACATCTCCTCTTTTACTAATATTAACAATGAGAAGATGTGGTGTATTGTATATTTTATTAAAGAACGATTTTTTAATCGAATCTACCGAGTTTGTTTTGTTTTCAGCTGAGTCATAAATGACTTTTGAAAATTGAGGTTTGATATCGAATTGTAAGTTTGGAATAGTTTTTTTAAATTGTTGAATAATATCATCTTGTTTTTTTGCATCGCAAATCTCTTCTGAAATGTCATTTATGACAGTTTTAGGTTGTACACCCGAGTTAGCAAAAAGTTGCTCTAATCCTTCTTTCATTGTTTGACTTGAATTTGTTAGAAGTTTTATTGATTCTATTAATTCATTCATAATCGTTTTGAACAAAAGTAATGGAACAAATGGTCCTGTCATCAAACCAGTCACATTTGAGATTTTGCCTAATCTATTTAATAAACACTTTTTTTCTTCATAAAAAGAGGTTGACTCTGCCATAGGTTTCTATTAAAAAAAATAGTTTTATTTATTTTTTTGTTTTTAAAAAGAACTTTAATAATAAAACAGTAAAACAAATGAAAGAGAAAGTTATATCAACTAAAAGTCAAAGTATAGAAGAGTGACCAAAAAAAGTACCATCTGTATGGACAGAAATACGTTAATTATCACAACCAATATATTATAATAGAATTTATCATCATAATAATTATTATAATAACGATAAAAATCATTTTACTCATCACCACTCACTTTTATCGTCATTATCATTATTTTAAACAAATCTAGAATAGAAACTATAATAAATTAAATATGAATTATTTATGACTATGTTTTCATCATGTTGAGAAGTGATTCTTTCACTTTATTCTTCATGTTTTATTTCTATTCATTTATTGTTTTTTTTTCAATCATTCTCAATTCAAATATTTCATCTTTTAATTTGTTATCTGATTTTTATTTTGAAATAAATGAATATTAAAATTCATCATTATTTGTATTGTTATTTTATGTTTGACATATCAATAACATTATGCGTATGGTTTATCTCATTTATCATCAACATTGTTTAAATAGTCTTTCTTGATAACACACAATTTATTCAACTCAAAACTATCATTGGTAAATGTATTTACGTGTTGATAAATAATACTATCATCATAATAAATACCTCATTAATACTCACTCATAATAAATAATGACAAAGAATAACTAATCAATCTTAAATATGAAGTTATCCAAACAAAGGTAATTTCATAATCAGATGATAACTACAAATTCAAAACATGGAAATATTTTATGGTTCCATACAGTATCTCTGATGTGCTACATTTGAATCATATCAAATAAGTAAAGAATAAAATAAGAAAATGGAATGAAGAATAATCAATAACAATTCATCATTCATTAAATATAAATAATTTATAATATTTAATATAAATATATTATTTATAAATGAATTTGATGTTACAACTAATTTTAAATAAAAAGCAATTAATTAAGTGTTAATAGAATCTGTATCTATTATTCATGGCTCACTGGAGACTAATCCTGTCAATGAGTCTTCTTCATGTAGTTCAACAGCATATATTTAGTTGTGGTGGAAGAATGTTCAATGACATCCACTGTATTCTTAATTACAAGTTTTTTAACTTCTTTTATGATGTTAATTTCATTTTTTAATTCTTTAATTAATTTAATACTTTCTATATTTATTAATTAATTTATTGAAATTACTACTGCATTTATTTTGATATCTTTTAATTTCTCTATTTTCATTAAGCATATTCTTCATTTCTTTATACTTATTTCTTTTATTCCAATACATTCAATTAATATTATGATATGCCACAATAATCATATCAAATAATAGACAAGTTTTATTCTTTTTATTTATTACATATATATATATATATATGGTATTTTATGATACTATCAATAACTTTTTGATATTATTTAATTGTTCAATATGATATTGATGTCATTGTATTAGAACATTGTTTCATATGTTTATTTCTTCTATTGATTATTTCATTTATATTTTCTTATTATTTAATATGATAATACCAATATTGTCATATTTCTCAATTTGTGATTTTTTATGACAAATACAAGATAATAGAATATGTTCTATTATTGATATATTGTATTTACAAAGTGTAGAGTATTTTAATCATTTTTAATATTTTATCTTTTCTGTACATATTGAATATTACTCTTTCTTATATTTTATTTAATTGGAGAAGTGAATTCTTTTTAATATTGATTGACTTCAATGTATTGATTGTAGTAGTTTTATATATAAATTTTGATTCAAACAATAATCTAAAATATCTATTTATTTGATTTCAATTTATTAATGTATTTATTTATCATTATATTATTTATTTTTATTTTATTTATTATTATTTTCAATCCCTTCATTTATTATGTATTTTATTTCTTCTTCTTTGATTTTATTTATTATTATTTTTATTTATATTCATTATTCATTTCTTTCAATATCATCTATCTAATATATTATTTATTATTTCATTCTTATACAATATTACATTATTCTTCTAATTATTTCATTAATATATTCATCATTCATGTTTATTATTCATTATTTCATTTATATTGATATATAGATTGTCTTTAGAGTTACTAACACCAATGTATTTATTATTTATTTTATTATTTCAATTTCAATTTTATCTAAATTACATTCCATTTTATTAATGTTGTTGAATATCTTCAGATATTAATTAACTCATTATTAATTATTGTAATATATCTTATATTACTACATTCATCATTTATATCATCAATTTTCTTCATTATCTTTTATTTGATGATTTTATAATTGAATATATCATTAATTTCATCTGATTATCATACATTTAAATATTTATACATTTCATCTATTTCATTTATTGTAATATTTTCATTTCAAGATATTATTTGATTAATATTCTTTATTTCTTGGTTTATTTTCATTCATTCATTTCTTTATTCTATTTATTATTTATTTATTTGTTGATTATTCTCATTTATTCATTATAATATATGATTTATATTATTTAACTTATATTCATTGATTTGATAAATTATATTTATTTTGATGATGATAGAGTTGATAATGAATCATAATGTAAAATTCATCATGTTAATATATTATTTATATTCATTATATTTATATCATATGATTATATTCATTTTATTCATTATATTTTATATATTATCTATGTTGATTCATTTTATATTAAATTATTTTAATATTTATATTACATATTCATGACTCATTGATTCATATAATGTATTAATTTCATAATATAAATCTATATATTTTGTATATTTATCTTCTTTTTGTTGATTTAATATAAAACTATTATTATTCATTATTTATCAACAACAGATTATAATTTACATTATAATTGATTTCTATTAATTTTAAATGATTTATTATGAATATTAATTCTATTATGAATATTATCTTTTAATAATGATATAAATATTTTTATAATTACATTTATCCAATTGATATGATGATAATTAATAACATCATTAATATTACTTCATTTATTGATTAATATTGTTCTGCAATTTACCATATTTAATTTGATGATTTCATTGAAATTTAACAATTCATTAAATATATTAAGAATATATTCTCTTGATAATGATATTCTCTTCATTTAATATAAATATATAATGTCATACTGATTTCCAGTTATTTATTTTCATTATAAATAGATTCAAATCATCCAATATGATAATGATATTATCATAATTTATGTATATTTCATTCTAAATTATGATTTAATTTATTTTCATTTATTTAACTTGATTGATGATAGAGTTAAGATATTCATCATCAATATCAATAGTGTTATTTTTCATATTAATGTTTTTTATTATTGGATTACACTCTACTTTCCCTTCTATGATGGAGTTCATTTTCGTTTTAATATATCTTTTAGTTGTTTCTTTTATTCTATGTGACTTTTTAATATTATTAATGTATTCCTTATCATTATTTACATTATTATTTATTACTTTTATTATGTTTTCTATTTGTTCCCATCTTATTTTCTTATTTAATTTCTTATTTAACCAATTAATTACAAAACAATACAACACATCAATTAAAATTCTATTTGTTTGATTTATTGTGTTTTCTTCTCTTCTTGACTGATTATTATTTCTTGTTTTTTGATATTCAGTGTTTTGTTCTCTTCTTCTATTTCCAGAATTGTCTTTTTCATAGTTGTAGTTTTGTTCATTTGTATTGTCCCAGATGATGATGTTCTCAGTATTTGTTGTGTATTTATCACTAGAGTCATTGTTTTCTTCTTCTCCAGTTCCTTCTGGGATAAAAAATTTTCGATACTTTCTTGTTGCTTTGATATTAATTGATTTTGTTCTTCATTTTCTCTTTGTGTATGGTCTAATTCTTCTTTTGTTATTTCTGCATTCTCATAGTTTTCAATCATACTTTTTTGATATTCAATGTTTTGATTTTCTTTATCTCTTATGTTCTTCTTTAACAGCTTAGCACTCTTCTCCAGCTCACCACCTTTAAGGACTTCGTCCTTCTCCTTCTTCAGCTTCTCACAGCTAGCTCGGAGCGTGAGGATGGTTTCATCCTTACCTCCTACTTCTATGTTCCTTCTACCATTTGCTTCATTAATTTTTCACTGTAATGAAATATTTTCCTCTTTTAATTTAGAGTTTTCTTTTCTTATTTCATTACATGTAGTTTGAATATTGTTTATTTGTGTTTGAATATTTTCTATTTCTTCTTCAATCTCTTTCCTAACTGTTTCTCGTGTTTTTTGAATCATTTCATTTGAAATAGTTCGTTCTTCTTTTTTGTTTGAAGTTCTTTAATAGTTTCTTCTATTTCTTTAATTTTATTTTGAAGTGTGTTAATTTCTTATTTGTTGCTTTCTTCTTCCTTTTTCTCTTCTTTGTCTTGTGTTTTCTCTTTATTTTCTTTTTCATTTATTATTCTTGCATATTTACATCTATCGTTCATTTCTTTGTTTCGATTTTTGTTTTTGATTTCTTCTTCGATTGTTTTAATATCTTCACTTTTCCAATCTTTTGTTTTATCTTTGATTTCTTCTTTGTTTTTCTCTAGTGTTTTCTTCTTTCTTATTGAATATACTTCTTGGAGAATATTATACCATTTCTTTACCTTCATACTTTTTAAGTATTTCTGATTATTCTCCTTCCTCCCATTTTCTTGTTATTCTTTTAATTTTCTTTTGAATTTCTTTTGTTGTCAACTATTTAGATTTATTATTTGTATAATGTTTATTATCATTATATTTACTTTCTTTCTTATTTGTTTTTATTTGTATTCTTCTTTTTCTATTCACTATTTTCTTGTTATTTCTTTTATCATTATTATTCATTTTATTGTTATTTCATTCTTTCTTTTCTTTGAACTTGAATATGTCTTGTTTGATTTTCTTTACAAGACTCTATGGTATTACTCAATAGCCATGGCAACA